CTGACGTAAACCGAGGCGTAGGCCCCTGCAGGCCGGCCCGACGCAGTTTGACCCCTATTTTTGACAGAAGAAATCAACAAATGAGCTAAGTACGTCGATATAAAAATTTTGCTTCCCGCGAAGTCAGAATATTCAATTGCGTTCGTATCTATTAACATGTCTACTTAATATTCAATGTCCTCAAATGCAATGTTATTAAACATGATCTGATTATTGATTTGGCTGAGGTATTAGGTTATTGATTCAACTAATAGATCAGTGGTTCAATCATATTAACTGGTATATATATATAAATTTATAATTTATATTAAAAATATAAATATATTCAAATACCTATAAAAATATAATATCAATTTCAAATATTTTAATATGAAAAATAATAAATTACACATCATTGTCCAATAAAAAGTCAATCAAACATATAATACTTGTGATACTAGTACTTCAGGTTTAGTAAACGATATCTCTAACCATAAATCAAATGAAAATTTACTTCATATTATATAACCAAGATAATAATTAGTGTTGTAGTTACATAACTTATGTAACTCAATAAATAACAGATCACTCAAATATTTCAAAAGAAAACAAATTATTTGTGTATGAGAGTGAAAAAAAGGAAAAAGCATCAATTAGTGAGAACAATTTTTTTTTTATGAATCGGGTCAAGTCACCGATTTTTAAAAAAATCGACTGAGTCGCACTGATTTCATTACATGGTAGATCCAATATGAAAATTGGATAAATTATATGAACGGTTCACCAACTTTCGGGCTAACCTGGCCAGATCAATCTGGTTTTTATGACATTGGTCAAAAGTCAAAATCAATGTTTTTTTATATAAAAAAGTTTAACTAATTACAATGCCGGAGTGAGATTTTTTGTAAAGGAAATATAAATTACAAGGTGTATTCTTTATTGTAAACCACAACTATATATAAATAATAACAATAAAATAAAGATGATTTCCATAACTAAAACTTTATATGAAATTATTTAAGTATTTATATAATACTAAAATATATTCACAATAAAAATTTATATAAATTTAGAGCGATTGCTTTCTCTATCACTTCACCACTGTTGTATGTAAATTACTAAATTGATTCAATCAATAATGGCAAAAAAATAATTTTTGATCACTCCACCATGTGACTTCTTAACTGCCCCATGCGTTTAATGACTTGATTTCTGCAGTACAACAAATTAAAATATAAAGGTACAAAGGCTAATTAATTGTTAAGTACTAGTCTACCAAACAAAATATACTTCTTCAACATTCCTGGTTATATTAAAAATAATTGAGATTCAGAATTTTTTTAAAAAGAGTATCCTATTTTAAGATCAATTAATAAAGGGAAATTATTTTCTTATGTGACATACGATAAAATCTCTCTCCTACACACATAAAGATGAGAGAGAAAAAATATAAATGGGTCTCATATATCTTTATATGTGTACGTAGGAGAGAAATTTTATCTTATGTGACATAAGAAAAACAATTTCCATTAATTAAATGGATCGCCGACTGATGTGTAAAAATTCTTGTAATGGCTTGAATATGGAATGTCAAATCTATTTGTCAATAATAACGCTAGAAAAATATACATACTGTTCAATACCATTGAATCGTATAATGATACCTTAAAGGTATGTGCTTAAAGATATCTTGGTTGGCTTATAGTCACTCTCTCAATCATTGCGCACAAGCAATAGGCTTATAGCCAATACGTGAGTGTGTGCACAATATTGGCAGTAATAGTAAATAGGTTAAAAGTGTGTACCTGAGGTCTCTAGCCTTTTGATTATAGAAGTTACCTCTTGGGCTTGGGCTGTGTAGATCTCTCAGTTGATATAGGATTTAACCTCTTATTTGTAGGGATATGGGTTCTATCTCCTTATCTTTATTATCTTATGTTGTTGAGACACTTGTGCCATTATCCATTAAGGGATATATGAGATATGGAAATGGATCCTCTCATGTGTAATTTAACATGATCATGTCATGTGGGAGGATCTTAACCATTAGTAATTAAATCAACGGTGATGATTGTGTAACTTCCTATCCTTATATTTTTTCTCTTCTTCCTTATCACCATTAACTCACCCATGTATGGTTATGATTGCCCCATATGACATGGTCATGTTAATTAGCACATGAGAGGATCCACTCCCTGAAGGATATACGGTTAAGATATAGATATATTCCATAACACATACATTGTAAGTAAAAATTAAGTCTAATTTCTTAATGAATAAATAAATGAAGTTAAATTTATATCACAGTTTCAAAGACTTGAGACAAAGTTTATCTCCGACATGAGCAACATTGAACAGTCTTATAACAAATCAATCCAATTCAATGAAAAAACGAATTAGAAAAACAAAAACTTCGTAAATTAAAAATTAAGATTCCAAAATATAAAAATTAATTTTTTATTATATTTTATCAGTTTTTATTTTCAACTTTAAAAATTGATTTAATTCAAACTAAACTGAACTTATTAACATAAATATAATTTGTGTGAACATAAAGAGTGTGCATGACCACTATTCTATTCACAGGTATTGTTTTTGAAAAGAAACAATTCTTTTCTATTTTTGTGCCTTCGAACAACTTATGAGAAAAAAAATATGTTTGATAACATGTTCTATTTCTATTATGAGAATGAAAATTGCGTTTGATAATACAATAAATAATATAATAAAAAAATTCCTATTAAGCATAAAAAATTTTCGGATCATCATTTTTCTTTTCATATAGTGTGTTGGCGGTAGCGGCGGCGGTGGTAATAATGGCGATTGTGGCGGTGGCTGCGGTAGTGATGGTGGTGGTGGCGGTTGCGTGGTGATGGTAGTGGTGGTGGTGACGGCAGTGGCTGCGACGATGATAGTGATAATATTGGCGATGATGGCGGCATGGTGGTGGCGGCGGCAGTGGTAGTAGTGGTGGTAATGGCATGGTGGTGGTGGCGATGACAGTGGCTGCGACGGTGGCGGTGACGGTAATGGCTGCGGCGATAGTGATGGTGGTTGGTGACAGAGGTGGTGATGGTGGCGTTGGCGATGACGTGATAATGGTAGTGGTGGTGGTGATGGTTGCAACGATAGTAGTGGTGGTTGGTGACAGTGGTGGTGATGGTGGCGATGGTGATAGTGGTGGCGTCGTGGCAATGGTGATGGCAGTGGTGTAGGTGGTGGTGGTTTGTGGCGGTGTTGGTTGTGATGATGGTGGTGGTGACGGTGATGGTAATGGTGGTGGTGACGAGGGCATATTGGTGGTGATGGGTGGAGGTGGAGGTGGTGATGACGGCGACACTGGTGGTACAACGACGGCGATGATGGTGGTGATGGTGGTGGTCGTGTCGGGATGGTGGTGGTGGTGATGGTAGTGGTGGAGAGTGATTATGGGAGATAAGTGTTTATCATTTTGTGTCCGGAAATGAAAAACATTTTTTTTTTATTCTTCTTTATGTTTTCCAGCACAAATATTAAGCTGATTTATTCCGAAAACAAAAAAATAAACCTATTTTACCAAATAAATTTTCTATTCATTTCTTTTCTCGGGAATAGAAATTAAAAAAAATGATTATTAGAATATTATCATGCACACCCAAATAATCGTAGTTTGTTGGACTATAAATTTTTCATTAATACGAGTGAAGCAGGAGTAAAATTGAAAGTTGAAACATTACATAGAGTCCCTTTTAATTGTCTGAATTTAAAATGAGTTTTACTATAATGAACTATGCTAGACTTTTGGAATGAGATACTTGATATTTTAAATTAGTTTTTAATATATTTATTATATTTCAAGATTTATTTATTCTCTTTAAAAAATTAAAAGACAATATATATTTACAATATCTTTTCGCTTACGACCTCTTGCAATCTTATTTTAATCGCTGATTTTCGTAAATTTAATGAGTATAATTTATTAGATTACACATATTAATTAATTATCAATATTTAATAAATTATAATCATCAAATTTGTGAAAATTAACGATTAAAATTTGATTATAAGAAATTGTAAATAAAATTAGATTACAAATATAACCTCCTCGTGATAAAATATATGAAAACCAATAATTGAATGATTTTTGTTTAATTTGAAATTGAAACAATCCAATCTCTGTGCACCTTTACTAATAACTTTAAAAGTAAATATCTTTTTGGGTCCTCAACAAAAAATATGGAACCCATTTTAATTTCTTAAAATAAATAATACCTATATTAGTACTTTTTGAGGAATTAATATGAGTCTTATTTAAATTTTTGAGGAACCACAATTTCAAAGAATTGAAATTTCAGATAAATCACAAGTCGCATTTTTTTTTCCTAAGAAATTAAAATAAATTTTATAATTTTTTGTTGAGGTCCCAAAAAATATTAACTCTAACTTTAATTATTACATCAAAAAAGAAAACATGTCACTTTAACTATATAAAATAAGGGAAATAATTATCTCATGTTGCATGAGATAATATGCAACAGAGACAAAATAGTGAAGTTCACTATTTTTCTTTTTTTTTTCTTTTTTTGAAAAAATAGTGGACCTCACAATTTTATCTCTGTTGCATAATTATCTCATGCAACATGAGATTAATAGATGTACGAAGTTACAATTCTCCTTGCCAAAAGCATAGGCAACATAAAAGAATAAAAAATTAACTCAATGAACCCTGTTTATTCAAAGAAAGAAAAAAGATTTTTTTTTAATGGAATGCAACAAGCTGAAGCCTTGATAATTTCAAAAGGCGCTGTCATTTTACGTTGTCGGGCTCATGTTTCTTATGATCTTACCCTTATAAATATGCAACCCTTGCTGGCTACTATTTTCATTTCCTCACATCTCCAAAGTCTCCCACATGTTCAAAAACCCTTGATCTCACACCTTGTTTGTCACTCTGTGCTTCCGGTTCTCAAGATTGCTTAAGCAAATTACCTTGTAGGTGTTGTATTCATCAGTAGGTACCTAGCATCTGCTAAGAAAGCATGATGCACATGCTGTCTACAAAGGCTAGTAAGGACTCTCATGGCGAAGACTCTTCTTACTTTCTAGGATGGCGAGAGTACGAGAAGAACCCTTTTCACCCCATTCAAAATCCAGCGGGAATTATTCAGATGGGACTCGCAGAGAATCAGGTTGGCTTGTTTACTACTTAATTAAAGTCACCACCTTCTGTTTATAGTTACCTTAAATTAAAACTACATACAGTTGAGGTTAATTGCAACTTCCAGCTAGCTATAAGTCGATTTCGATTCACCAATTAACTTTCCTTGGTAACAAGGATCGCTTTTATTTTTTTGCTACCTTTTCCTTAATAATACAAGGGGAGAATATACATAAGGAAAACAAAAAAAGAAACAAGAAGTTCCATATGGGGGACACAAAGACAGGATAGTACATTGTGTTTCTATTTACAATCTGACATGCTTGAGCACGGCTCGGGATGTCAAACGCAATGCTTTTTAACTGTTGTTCACTGCAAATTCTCTCTGGTGGTGGCTATATCAACTGAAGAAAGCATAGGCGAGCTATATTTCTCTCTCTCTATCTCTCTCTCTCTATATATACATGACTTATAGTTTTGAAATAATTTTATTTTCGACTATTAAATCATTATGGTACAAAGATGAATGGATGGTGATAAAGAAAGAGAGAAAAAAGAAATAACTATTCAAAGTGAATCAATTAATATAAGAAAATAAATAAACAAAATGACGTAATTTTGGGATAGACGAAAATAAATATATCTCAAACTGTTTGAGAAATATTTTTCTTATATATATATATTGAGATAACTTTATCTCCGGCTACTAAATCATAACCGTACAAAGATGAATCAATGGTGAAAAAAGAAGAGACAAAAAAAAGAAATCATAACCATTCAAGAGTGAATCAATTAATATAAATAAATAAATAAACAAAATGACGTAGTTTTTTGATGGATGAAGATAAATATATCTCAAGCTACTTGAGAAATATTTTTCTCATATATATATATAGAGAAAAGTATTTCTACAGTCACTTTATATAAGGTTATCTACAGCTACTCTTTTTTAATTAAGTATGACCGGTCATACTTAGTTATAATAATAAAGCTTTTTTTTTTTCTCTTTCCTCAGACACTGTCGGCTGACGTGGCAGAGAGAAAACCTTATCTAAAAAATGGTAGCTGGTTAAAAAATGGTAGTTGTAGACAACCTTATCTAAATTGGCTGTAGAAATGTTTTCCCCTCATATATATATATATATATATATATATATATATATATATATATATAGGCTTTTTCACCCTTTTGCCCCTTATTAATTAATTAATAACCATTTTGCCCCTGATTCGAAACTATTTATCAATCTGCCCCTCTTTAGTCGACTACCTTGCATTTTTAATCGACTAAATGGCCAAAACAGACAAAAAATGGCTGCTGGGAGATTTAGTCGACTAAATCTCCCTATTTGACAAAAAAAAAAAATAAGTCAGTATGATTTTAATCGATTAAGTAGGGAGATTTAGTCGATTAAATCTCCCAACAACCGTTTAGTCGATTAAAAATGTAAGGTAGTCGATTGAAGAGGGGCAGATTGGTAGATAGTTTCGAATCAGGGGAAAATGGTTATTAATTAATTAATAAGGGACAAAAGGGTTAAAAAGCCTATATATATAGGAAAAACTATTCTCATACTACATGTGACAAGTTTTTTCTCCTACAGATCCTTCGATAATCGTGCCATATTTTTCTTTTCTTTTCTTTTTATTTTTTCAAGTGGTGGAGTCCACAAGTTTGTCTCTATGACATGAGATAATATATATATATATATATATATATATATATATATATATATATATATCATTCTTTAGCTATATTCAACAAATTGCTGTCATCTTTTGCAGCTTTCGTTTGACCTTCTTGAATCATGGCTTCAAAGAAATCCTGATATAGTGGGGTTGAAGAAAGATGGGTCATCCGCATTTAGAGAACTTGCTCTATTCCAGGATTACCATGGCTTACCTGCTTTAAAAAAAGTAAGATATCTCTTACTTTTTCAGGCCCAAAATAAAGAGTTGTATGAATTAGCTTTTAATGCCCTTATTATTTGGTTCATTTTAGTATTTTATTTTCAAACTTTCGAAATATATAGACACGTGCGTGTATATTAGATTCATTGTTTATTTAAAAGAAGAAGGGGAAGGATATACTTACCACCAAAAAAGCTTATCACCTTTACAATCAACTTAATTTTCATTGATTTTCGTCAATTTAATGGTTATAATTTATTGGATCGCATTTATTAATTAATTATTAATTCTTAATAAATCCAATAAATTATAACTGTTAGATTGACAAAAATCAACTGTGATTAGATTAATTGTAAATGTAGTAAACTTTTTTGGAGGTAAGTATATCCTGCCGCAAAGAAAAAATATTTTCAAATTAAAAAGAATAAATATTATTTCAATAATTAATGGTAATGAATTCTCTCATTGTTAAATTTCATATGACTTGTTTATGAGAAAATTTCATTTTATTTTTTATTCATAAATTCTAATTAAACTTCACCTATTTAATGCCAATAAAAAGAGAGATTAATATATTATTTTCATAAAATCAAATCATCTGAATTTTTAATAGAAGACGGGGCTCCCATTATTAATACTCGTGCAGATATTGGTCATATGCTCACATAATAGAAGACTTCATTATTGCCGTACATAACGTGTGCGCCTATCGTTGTACGCTGTCAAGCACGGAAACGCATTTTTTGAAAATTTTGCGTGTCGACACGTGTTCAACACGGACACGACACGCGGTTAATACGTGAGGACATGAAATTAACTCTTCGACACGTTTTTTGACACGCAGTCAACTTTTTCTGACACACAGTCAAAGCTCCGACACATTTTTTTTCTAAACTTTTTAATTTTATTTTATTAACTAAATATAAAAAAATAATTTATAAATTAATTTTTTTCTGTCATGAAATTTGACATGAAAAATTAATAAAGTAAGAAAAATTATCTTTATATATATTTATGTTATAAAATTTATATATGTGATTGGTTATATGACTTATTGTGGACTCTTATATGTATTAAATATAAATTATATTATATATATTAAATTTTTTATTTAATATCAAAATGTGTCTCAACGTGTCGGAATATGACATTTTTTAAAATTAACGTGTCAGCGTGTCGTGTCCCGTATCCCGTGTCAGTGTCAGTACATCATAAGTTGTACGTATTTGAAGATGCATTAAAAAAAACGACATTAATGATGATGTCATCAGTTGCATGCACTCAAGAACTTGGTTAAAATAGGAGAAATTCTTAAGAATATATGGGAATAAATCCTCAAGCTTGAATTTTCTAATAATTAATTTGTTAATTTGGTATTTTTAAAAAAAAAATATATTTATGACATGGCTTGCAATACATGACTTTGCGTATGCTTGATTTTTTTTTTTTTTTTTTTGGAGAACTTCGTATGCTTGATGTTAAATGAGTACCTACTTCTGTACCAAAAAAATAAAATAAAAAAATGAGTACCTACTTAGAATTTGTGATCAGTTGCATGCTTTCTGTCTATTTATGTCGCTCGTTCTACTTTCTTTTGTACGTATTCACACTCCCATGAAAAGAATTTCTAAGATAGTTTTAAAAAGAAATTCTATTTTATCCAAAAAAAAAAAAAGAATACAATTCTATTTTATATAACTAGTTCATATCAGCCATTGGTAAGAGAAAAGAAGTAAATTCCAAAACGATGCTTATTAATATAGTAGTTTTTGATGAATAAAAATGTATTTTATTTTATTTTAAATTACCAATATTGATGTGTGAAATATTAATTTACATGCTTAGTACTTGGCAACTTTTTTCCCCCTTCTAGGAACTAGTGGACTTTCTGGCAAAATTAAGAGGAAACAGAAGCAAATTTGTTTATGAGAAGCTTGTCCTCACAGCTGGCGCAACTCCTGCAAATGAGATTCTTATGTTTTGCCTTGCTGACCCAGGGGAAGCTTTCATTCTTCCCACACCTTATTATCCTGGGTAATGAATGGTTCTGTTTAATTTTGAATTATGGTACTATATTTCAAAATCATTCGATTTAACTATAAATCAGCGTGTAACCCTTTTGGATTTTGACTTAATTTGGCAGGTTTGATAGGGATCTTAAATGGAGGACCGGGGTTGAGATTGTTCCAATGCATTGCTCGAGCTCAAATGGTTTTCGAATCACTTCCTCTGCTTTAGAACAAGCCTATCAACAAGCACAAAAACAGAATCTTAAAGTCAAAGGGGTACTAGTAACTAACCCCTCGAATCCACTAGGCATAACCATGAGCAAAAAGGAGCTTAACCATCTGGTAGCTTTTGCAATTGACAAGGACATTCATATAATAAGCGATGAAATCTACTCAGGAACAGTCTTCGACTCACCTAGATTTGTAAGCATCATGGAAGTTGTAAACGAGAGTAGTGTAGATGGTGCTGTCATTTGGAACCGCATTCACATCGTTTATAGTCTCTCCAAGGATCTAGGGGTGCCAGGATTTCGGGTAGGAATGATTTACTCAAATAACGAAAAGGTTGTGGCTGCGGCCACCAAAATGTCAAGCTTTGGTTTAGTTTCCTCTCAGACACAATATTTGCTTGCCAACTTACTCTCAGACAAGAAATTCACTTCGAAATACATAGAGGAGAGTCAGAGGAGACTGAAAAGGCGCAAGGAAATGCTTGTCTCTGGCCTAAAAAATGCAGGGATTCGATGTTTGAAGAGCAATGCTGGGTTGTTCTGTTGGGTGGATTTGAGGCATCTATTAAGCTCTAGTACTTTTGAGGCAGAGAAGGAGCTTTGGAAGAGGATTCTTTGGGAAGTTGGTTTGAACATATCTCCTGGGTCTTCTTGCCACTGCTCTGAACCAGGGTGGTTTAGGATATGCTTTGCCAACATGTCCGAAGACACATTACAAGTTGCAATGCTACGGATGAAGGCTTTTACAGACTCAACCGTCTCTACTATCCAATGCAGTAACAATTGTACTCAACAACAATATGTCAAGCAGTACAAATTTTACCTCAAGAAGGTTAATTGTTAAGTGGGTTTTCCAGTTATCGTTGTATGAATAATCCTAATCACACCGTTAGTTCTGACACTTTTGGGAAGAAAAAGTGTTCAATGCTACTCAGCCTTATAAAATATATAAATAAATTTTCTGCTACATATGGAAGTCAAAACATTTCATTATTTGTGTGATTATGTACTCTACGATTCTTTGGCTCAATGTGGATCAAAATTCTGAACCTGCTTCTTGATAATGAGTAGAACTGAGTTAATTTTTTTTCCTTTTTTTTTAAAAATAAATTGGATTTACTTGAATTAATTTTTGGTTCTTTTATTTAAGGTAAAGGTATGGGATTAAGGTGGTCAAAGGATATGAAAATAAATAAACAGACAAAAACAAAACGTACATGAGTGGCTCAACAACACCACATGGGCTACGTGCATTCCCTTGACCCTGAGGATAACACGAAAGCTTTTGGAGTTGATTGGTACAGGAGATATTTTCTTTGGTCAGAAAAAAATATTTCTGAGAACATAGTAGGAAATTATTTAACCCGGAAAAGTAATGAAAAGTTATTTGTTATGTCAAAATTTTACCAAAAAAAACTTAGTTAATTTTATTGATAATGCTTTGGTTGATTGTAAAATATTAAAAGGAATATTAACATAAATTACCAATTTACTCATAATCTTTTAATATTGTAGACGTTCGTTTTACCTGGGCGCAAGAGGTTTGCGCTCGAAACCCACTTTATTTACTCAAGGAGAGTCGTTTTTTACTCAAAATCGGAAACGATTTTGGGTAAAGTGTATTGTGCGTAATTTGAGGGAGGAGATATTTGCAAGCATTGGACTTCATAATTAATTGCGGTGAGTAAATAAAGATTGTGTCTTCATAATCATGTCCCTTTATTCAAGAATAGAAAAGAAAATGGACATTGAGAGAAAGTAGAGCAGATGTAAAACGATGACGTTGAGAGCGAGAGATGGGGGCATAATGAGAAAAGTTTATGTAAATGAAAAACAAAATGGTGGAGATGTGAAAAGTAGCCCTTTAGGTGGTGTTTGGTTGGGAGCTTTTCAGCGGATATTTATCTTTCTCAAGTATGGCTTTTAGAAACACCATGTTTGTTTCAACGTTTTTCACCAAAAATCCATCTATCCAATTTGTCTGGATTTATGAGAAACATAGATATCCGCAGTGTTTAGAAACCCAATTTGAAGGTGAGATTTTTCGGAAAACCGGTTATCTGACTTTTAATGCACCGTTGATTTCATAAAGTTATCTAATTTTCCCAGTAAAGTTTTTCCCTACCAAACAACTTTTTTTTATATTTTTCTACCTATCTCACTTTATCTATCTTTCCAATTATTTCTCTATCTATTTCATTTTCCTACTATTCCAAAAAATTCTCCTGAACCAAACGCCCCTTAATGGTTTTTGAAGAGTGGAACGCGAAATGGTTAGTTTAGTATATTTTTACCATTTTATTTATTTATTTTTATGGATATATGTTATTTGTGAATAAATTATGTAGAACTAAAAGATAATGACAAAATAAAAAAATTAAGGTTAAGTTTAACAACTATTTAATGATGGATAAATTAGAATTCTATGGTTGAAAGTTTGATTCTTAAAACCTTTTACAGGTCGAAATTTCTTGTGGTCAAAATTTCCAAAGCAACGTATATATGTAAAAAAATATGAATAAATGAGATGGACGAAATAAAGTGAAATAAAATAAATATATTATTATTTAAAGGGGAGGGTTATATTGATTTTTTTTTTTACAAACTCTTACAAATTACATTATGTGTTAGGAATAACATACTGTGTGCTGAATATACTATCTCTAGTATATAGTGTAGTTTATAAAAATTTATAAATAAAAAATTTGTAAATTTAATTTTTCACTTATTTAAATGAGAAAGGTTATACTTAAAACCTATTTTCTTTTGTAACCTCTTACAATCATATTTTAACCATTGATTTCTGCCAATCAACTATTATTATTTTCACAAATCAAATTCATTGATTAATTATTAATGGGTTCGCTTTTTCTACAGATACTGCATATAAGTTATCTGCAGTAAACCCAATACGACGTCATTTTGGGACAGAAATTATGGTGTTTTTGTAATTTTAATTTATTTTAGGGTTATTATAGTCTTTATAATTATATTTTTTTAATTTTCAATCTCAAAACGATATCGTTTTGGAAATAAATGCAGATAACTTATCTACAGTAGCTGCAGAAATATTTTTTTGATTATTAATTCATAATAAATGATAATCATTGATTGACAAAAATCTTTTAAGATATGATCGTAAAAGATTGTAAACGAAAATAAATTATAAGATTAACCTTCTTTATTTGAATATTTTTAATAAAATGAGAAATTTAAATGTCATTGAGTCATTCTATTCGTTACGCTCCATTCTTTCGTTCCAAGGACATGCTAGTTTGAGAAGAAATATACTATAGATGAAACTGGGAACATCATTCCTCGTGACGTAGCGTTCCATTATGATTTGGTAATTGAGATGCATGGGAATGCATCGTATCAGAGAGAGAGAGAGAGAGAGACAAAGGCAAATAATGCGTTGAGAATTGAGACATATATTTGATGTGATTCCCCGTTTAACTGTCTTGTTCTCTTTTCAACTTTGAAGACCATAAAGAAAAACGCAAAACTGTTTGGATTTCAAATTTCCTTTGTTTCCCGAATCAGTTTTTGTATAAATCGTTCCTGTGAAGGTGAAGCCCATTCACGTTCTCTTTTCTTCGACATTTTGCTTTTTTCTGCCCCTGTTTCCCTAATTTATCTTCATCGACAAATTCTTCATCCCTATGCAGGTACTTCTTTGCTCTTTTCTAAAAATTTTGTGTTTTATTTTTCTTTATTCAGTTCCTCATCTCCCTCATTAGAAATACTTGTATACACATGGTACACACAAGTTGTATGTACTAACTCAATCAACATTAAATAATTGTATTAATATGTTTGTGCCACAAAATATTTTATATTTTAAAGTGATAATACATGTTGATTGGCTTAGGGCAGCCAACTATGTAAACAAGAATATCTTTTGCCATTCAATTGTTTTTAGGCTTCTCTACGCTGTTGTGCTTGCTCTCTTGACTCGCGGTTACATCGATGGCGTTTAGTTTAAATGGTAATGTGACAATGGGAGGGGAGGGAATGATTGGTTCCAAAAACTCTGTTAGTTTCAGACTGTTTGGACATATCAGTGAATCTGTTCTTGTTTAGATTACTCTTCGGTGCCTAAGCTTATTTTATTTTACTGTTTAGTTATTTACCGCACAGGTTTTGCCCCATTTTGTTTTTTCAGGCTTACAAATCCTATGGATTTAAGTGCAATTCCATGGAAACTAAGTAGAATTTTTCAGTTACAATATTATATTTGTGAATTGATAAAATTGAACATTTTATGTTGGCTCTCTATTTTGTATCTCTTGGTAACTTGGACAAGGGTATTAACTATGATAAAAATGTTTATAATACTTGATGCCATGAAGAAATTCATGCACGTGCAAGGTGCTCCTATCAAATCCTCCAAAACTCAGCATCTGGGTTGGGTTTTGGACGTATGATGAATACAGGAGTGACTGCCAAATGATGAAATATTTTTCTAGAAACTATGCGACATTTCTTCATGACTATTCAATTTGAGTGTAAATCATTCTTGCTTACAGTTTTTTCTACCTTAACTTCTCTCGAATGCTCTTGGCACGTATGTGTGTTGAGTTTTAGGTGAGTGATCGGTAATTTTACTTCAATCCTTTGGTTCTCTGTATTGCTGCCTATTGTTTTAAGGTTAAAGTTACACAGGTTACCCGTACACCTTAACCAAAGAAATCAAAAGATATTTCAATGTTGCATTCCTGAACTTGTCCAAAGAAAGTCATTTCTTTCTGAGACGTTGATTGGATTATTGTTTTTTCAGGTGATGGATATGATTTTGATGTCTTATGTCTTTCTTTTTGAGTATTGAGATGTGTCAAGTTTGCCAATATAGTGGGCAGAGATGGACATTGCTGCTCTTTTAACTTCTGCTGGAATTAACATCGCCTTGTGCGTGGTGCTCTTTTCACTCTATTCAATATTAAGGAAACAACCCAGCAATGTTAATGTGTACTTTGGAAGAAAGCTAAACTGTTGGCATTCAAGAAAAGTTGATCTTTTGGAAAGATTTGTTCCCTCTCCTGACTGGGTAATGAAAGCATGGGAATCAACTCAAGATGAAATACTGAGTAGCGGTGGCTTGGATGCTGTGGTTTTTTGCAGGATGCTTGTGTTCAGGTTGTTCAATTCTTTTAAAATTGAAACTCTTTAAAGCTGTATGTCTTATATTGTGGCGGACTAGAGCGAACTGCTTTCTTATCCAATAAGTTTTTAACACGAATATGAACTTTGTCCACAAGATGCCAACCTACTGAATGAAGATATTTGAATCCTATGGTATCATGCTCAATCTTATGATATGAACTTGAAGTATATTTTATTGATGAACCTGGGGTCCCAAGAATACACATACCAGGAATATATGTTTTGATGACATGGCTCTGGCATTACGTAGCGCAAAACCTCCTTGAACAGTATTTCACAGCATGCTAACTGTACTGCACAACAATTTTATTATATTATTAATGATTTTACCTTTTTAAGCCTCTGAACTAAATGACAGTTAAACATTAAAATTGGCTAGGAAGTGTACCACTTTTGCAAAAGTCACACTTCAATGCATATATATGCTGTTGTACACTGTGAGAGTTAAAATCTAATATATTGTTATGGCCAGATCTGTAAATCTTGATATATTGAAGATGACAAATGTATATCTACCTTTATATCATCCATAATGATGGTCACTGCATGCATAAGAAATTAATTGCTTAACCATTGGTTCATTAATAACTTGAACTGAGATTTGTGCTCACAGAACTAGAAGTGATGCTACTGTTGACTATATCTCATGCTTAATTAATATAGGTAAGCCAGTTAAGTCATCAAGTTACTAAAATAGCTTCTTGGTGATGCTAAACCCAAGTTTTGTGTTGGGCCCTTTATGTAGTTTTAGCACCATTTTCATTTCAGTTTGGTAAATTTGTCCAACTTATTCAATTTACTTGTCTGAGTTTTTAAGTGTTTGCTTTGAGCACCATTTTATTTTACTCAAATCAAAACTAGTTGCTTATCACACATTTAAAAGTACATCAAATAAAAAAATAAGTGTAAACGCCTTTTTATTGTTCATTTTGTGGCTTTACTAACTGTTGATATTGTTATTTTCTCCTTCAGTATTCGAGTATTCTCGGTTGCTGCTGTCATCTGCGCTGTTTTAGTGCTTCCGGTGAATTACTATGGTCGGGACAGAATACATAAGGATATACCTTTTGAGTCACTGGAAGTATTTACCATTGAGAATGTCGAGGAAGGATCCCGGTGGTATGAGCTTTCTCTTATTTTAAAGTGAATGTGTTCATTATGTGAGTTTAGTTCAAATAGCCAGTAGAGTGTAGAAGCTGAGAAGATAATGAATAAACAATAGAATATATACAAAGGTTTCTTGACGTTTCATAGGTAGGAATGAATAATGCTCTCAAATAAAAAGTTTGGATTTGCCCTGTGCGTTGGCTCATTGCTGAGAAAGCTACTCAAATTCTTTCTTCTTCTTCTTCTTCTTCTATTTTTAAAAAATGATTTGTTGGAGAGTTTATTTTCTCAGACTTTTCCCCAAACAGCAATTGGAATTGTTACAGGCCCGAGTCCTTTTCCTTTATTATAATTTCCCCCCTCCATTTTTCGATGTTGATGTATTAGTAATAGTTAGATGTTGAGTAATACTCCTACTGCAGACTTGTTATTTATTGGTTGTTTTTATTCTTGTGCTTGATGTCAGGCTTTGGGCTCATTGTCTCTCCCTATACATCATAACTTTGACAGCTTGTTCTCTTCTTTACTTCGTAAGGGGCTGAATTCACCAGCAAGATTGACTTCTCTACCTGTTTTCATTGAGTGACCTAACAAGTTCTGTTTTTCTTTTCCAGTTTTTAAATATGACTAATCAAGTGGAAATAATGTCCAGGAATATAAGACCATTACTAATTTGAGGTTAGCACATATTACTGGATCGCAGCCAAATCCAAGTCTTTTTGCAATTCTTGTCCGAGGATTACCCTATTCTTCAGAAGAATCATACAGCGACACAGTGAAAAAGTTTTTCTCATATTACTATGCATCAACATATTTGTCACACCAAATAGTGTATAAGTCTGGTGCAATTCAGAAACTGAAGGTCTGCCTCTTAACTTCTTTAAATACTTTATTGTGATTTCAGTATATATCATACTTTTTAATCATCCAAATTTAAATTTGTGTAATTTTGTCTCCCTCTTTGTTGACGTCACACTTAGTGTCGTCATCACAGTCAATGTGTGTGTATGTGATAAACAGTTGAAGGCCAATATTTGGTTCAAGGAAACTTATATGTGGGCTCTTATTATGAAAATAAGTGTATGCATTTCTTTCATATTTTGATTCATGCTTTGTGCTTTGTAGGCTATTTGGTACAGAACTTTTTTCTTGTATCTCTTTTTCTTTGAAGGAAGCTTGCAAATCCTAAGAATTTTATTTACTTGAGATAGAAGCTTCGTTCTGATTTTTGACATATGCCTGACTTTACATTTTGTCGTCCTCTTTGGGATGGCAAAAAGATTATCAAATCCCTTTGACCATCGTATTGTGAAATTAGTAAATCTTTTATCGCATACAAACTATTGAGAATCAACTGCTTTAAAAGCTTTAGTTGTTTGCTTGCGAAAGTTTAATATCTAACACGACTTCTCATGGAAGAGCTCCAGGCAATATATGGCTCCGCCGCATCTTTGTTTAAATTTAATATTTATTTAGAAGAATGAAAACAACTATATCCAATTCATGACTATTTGGTTCAGGTTCTGATACAATGTTAAAAACTAACTCTTCCAAAAATATACATTATTAGATGAAGGCTTCTGAGTATTTTTATGTTTAACAAAAACTAAGGTCTGTGACAAATTTCAGTTCATGGACGACCATCATTGGTTACAGTTATTGGCATTCATTTGTATCATATCAGTGGAATTTCTTAGTATCTATGGTTTCATTGATGGGAGTTTGGGCTTTGATTATGATTCCAGAAGTACTAGTATGTAAAATATCCCAATTTCTTTTATGATCTTTTGCATTGTACTCATGATGTTTAGAGTTTTTTTTCTTTTTCTTTTTCTATTAATTTAAATTTCTAGCATTCTTCTCTTTGTTGACATAACTGCTATGTAAACTTTTGTTTCTTTTAATCTTCTTCCTATAGGATGATGCAGAATATATGTGTGAGATGCTGAGTCGTAATTGTTCAAGGGAACCATCCTGTAAGCCAAGTTTTACACAATGTTATTTTTGTGGAGGATCCGCAAATTCTTTTAAGATTATTTCTAATGAGATAGATAGTATACATGGGAGAGCAAGCTACAAAGACATGCATCTAGATGCAAGGAAAAAGGTCAATTTTCTGGCTGGATTGATTTATATAATTATGATATTAATATGTGAACCTCTTTCATTTTTATGATCTGGCATTAAACTACCATGTCAAGAAATTCATTATGTGATCAACATTGATATGTGATGTGAACCTCTTTAATTTCTATTGGATTTTTTATGATTCACTTAATTATATTCTCTTCTGCTACATTGTTTGACCTGTACCCTGTTTAAACCAGGGAAACAAGTTTAATTGTTTCCCATAGAAGTTTGCCGAGGCCTCCAACATAATGTATGCCTTTTAATGTGAATGTAGAAAAGCTAGTTAGGTAACTTGCAGAAATGAAAGATCATCAATGGAGCTGCGTTCTTTTAGGCCTGTTATATAAAATTCATTCTTGGAACAACTCTTTAACAGCTTAGAATGAATTGGTTTTCAGCATAGTAATTAAGCCTTTTTGACTAATTATTTAAGAATTTGATCTTGCTCCTCCTATTCAAGATTACGTTTAAGTACAAAATAAAGTGAGTTTGTACATTATTTTTACTTCAAGTGCTAAGGACTTTAGCTTGGCAGGGCATGAGAGAGCAAAAATAATTCATGTACTTCTGCTTAACAGTTTGAATTATTTGGAGAATTGGTCTTGGACTAGAGGTGGATTATTTAGAGGTCAATAGCTGACCTTTTGGGGGCTTTCTTAGAAGATCGATGTATAGTAGGTTCATAAATGCGTCTCCAAAACTTAGAGATATGATAGATAAAGTAGTAAATAGTGGAAAGTATTCCATATATTTTGAGATTCAGCATATATTTTCCACTGGTTTGTGAATTTTTCAAGCTTATTATTTTGGCTCTGACTTTATCTCCAATTTCTGTACCACTTGGTCTAGTAGTGTGGACATGCAAATACCTGTAAAGTTTTGCACTAGTGTATTAGCCACAAATAAAGCAGTCATTACTGAAAATTTTATGTATATTAGTCTAACTTTTATTCTTGAAAGATGTAACCTTAGTTGTCACAATATATTTAGTATTCTCTTCTTTGTGTTTATCAGTATCATTATTTATTATGTAAGTTGATGTTGATTTAAAGAACTCCAGGTTATATATACAAAAAAAAAAACTCCACGTTATTGCAATTTTGTTTTGCCATTCTGTAGTTATAATAAGTGTATATAGAATACATCTTATGTTATTTAACAATTTATGCTAACATTAAGGTCTCTAATACAGGAATGCGGAGCTGCTTTCGTGTTCTTTAAAAGTCGGTATGCTGCTCTTATGGTTGCCCAAAATCTTCAAACATCAAATCCTATGTTATGGGTCACAGACCTAGCTCCTGAACCTCATGACGTTTACTGGTCCAACCTTTGCATACCATATAGGCAACTTTGGATTCGTAAGATAGCTACACTTGTGGCTTCTATCACCTTTGTGCTTGTATTCCTTATCCCCGTCACTTTCGTACAAGGCTTGACTCAACTAAAGAAGCTTGAGAAAATGTTCCCTTTTCTGGCAGGGATACTTCAAAAGTAAGTTATTGCACATATACTAGGGGCAAATATTATGGACTTTCATACTCCTGGCCCGACTCATTTTTTTGGCAATATACATGGACTAAAATTTTGAAAGAATTAATTTTGCATGATAAACTAATTTGAGGGCAAATCTTGGTACAACAATAAGGTTACTCCTTGTGACCGCAAGTCTTTTTGCAAAAATGTAAAGGTAAGGTTGTGTGTAATCAATTTTCATTCCTACCCTACAAGTTGGAGAGCCTTATTCACCGGGATTTGTCCAAATTATGTTTGACAAGTTAAGTGTGAAACTTCATTTTAATAAACCATCTCTGTGCAAGAAAGGTCCATTATATTAGAAGTTACTTCAAAATTTTCTAGCTTGTTACTTGCTCATATGGAGGGCGAGCCTCAAGTAGTGGTAAAACTGTTCTTTTGTGATTGAAAGGTCACGGATTCGAATTCGAATTCGGGAGACAACCTCTTTGCAATTATGTAAGGCTGTGTACAAGAATTGCTCTCACCCCTCCCTCGCTAGTCGGGATTTAATGGGAGTGGTTACTTGCTCATATGATCCTAGGCCTACAGCAAATCTTGTTGTGTAAATTTCAAGATTTCATAACATATTATATATTCGAACACTCTACAAATTACTGTGTTGAGCCTATAATTGCAATTTGCCACCTACAATAATGATCAATGCTGAGAAGATCTTTAACAAAGCTTTTAGGGAGAAATACAACAATGTGATTCTTGGTAAAAATATTTCCTTTTAGTAACAATCCACTCAACTGATTAACTATGTTGAAACAGTGGTTAAACTAATTGCTAACTATTTTTAAACCGAAAATATTTTGACATGGATTTTATTCTTTGTAATTTTCCCTAGCTTTTATCTGCCATTTATTAAGCTTATAAGTTATTCCCTAGCTTGTTTGCAGAAATGATGTCAGTATATTCAAATACTAAATGAAGTTGCTCATTGTTTGTATTTCTACTTGCCGATTTTCAGTTTATAATTTCACTCTAGGATTTTATTTTAATTTTGATAAAAGAATGAATTTATCAAAACGAAGAGAAAAGAATTACAAAGAGAGGATAAGGAGTCCTCTTTAACATAAGAACAAACATGAAACAACAAAGGAAAAAGAGAAAATGAACATAGCAAAGCTGCTCAACCCCTCAACATATCTGGTGAGGAAGTCTCTTTAAAATAGCCAAATGCTTTACACCAAATACAAGCCAATTGTCTAAATTATCTTATCCCGAATCAATATTTGTGCCATAGAAACCTTCTTTCAAATACGAGAGTCACACATAAGCAATGTTAGAAGGTTAGTTTGGTAGTGTTAAATTTTAAATGGTATACAGTTCATTGTAAATTAAACCAGTATTTCTTCTTTCAGGAAATTTATGATTCAGCTGGTGACTGGTTACTTGCCAAGTGTGATTTTGGTTTTATTTTTATATGCTGTTCCACCAGTGATGATGCTATTTTCAGAAGTGGAGGGATCTATTTCCCGTAGTGGAAGGAAGAAGAGTGCATGCTGCAAAGTTTTGTATTTTACAATTTGGAATGTGTTTTTTGTTAATGTTTTTGCCGGATCTGTTATCAGCCAACTCTCGGTCTTTACCAGCATAACAGAACTACCTGCACAACTTGCCAAGGCAGTCCCAGTGCAGGTGATATACCCAGATTCCTAAATGACAAATGCCTATTGTAAATTATGTACCCCTTGTGTGGACTTACATTTGTATCAAAGATTTGAGGATCACTGAACTAAAATTTGTTCCCTTTTCTTAAGTTTGTTTAGAAGATAAATTGGTAATTATTTGTGATTAGCCATTCACTTTTTTGTGGCTTTTTCATGGCATACAGGCTACTTTCTTCACAACATATGTTTTATCATCTGGTTGGGCAAGTTTGGCATTTGAAATTATGCAACTGTTTCCTCTTTTCTGCAATCTGTTCCAGAGGTTCATACTAAAGTTTCAGGATGATTCACTGGATGCCACCCTAACTTTTCCATACCACACAGAAGTTCCAAGGATCTTACTATTTGGATTCCTTGGGTTCACCTGTTCTATTCTGGCACCCCTAATATTGCCCTTCTTATTGTTTTACTTTTTCCTTGCATACCTCGTTTACCGAAACCAGGTTAGTACTATCATGTTTTTGTCTCCTTTTTTTCATCATGGAGTTAATTGTGCTTAATTCTTTTATTTTATGCATAAGCATTTACGTTAGCTGGGTAATTAAGTTGCATTATATTTGATTAACACTGTTTCATTTTAGGCATAACTTGGAAATCAGTACTTTATAGATTTTAATGTGGTGACTGTTTACAACAATTTCATGTGGTGTGAGATTTACGTAATTAATTATTGGGGAATAAGGTCAGATAAGGGGTTGAAATTTTTTAGAAATCCATAGTTCATGTCATGATGTCACCTTGTTTTCACAAATGAAATTAACAAGAATATGAAAGAATGTCTTAAATTCAGTCACCCTATGGCTTGGCCCGATATCAATGTGCACTATATGGTTCTAGCTGTCATTCTACCATCCTGTGATCGTTGACGTGTCGACTATTTCCCTGTCCATTTTTAACCGAAATAACACGTAACAGGACACGTATGCACTAAACCACGTCATTTTTGGGTGTTGAAATGCCTCAAGACGACTTTGTTTAATGTTTTCCTATGCATGCCAAGATCTGTGACAATGTTTTAGTTGTTTCTAGGATAAGTATATTATGCCATCAAATGAATACTTATGTTTGATTGTTTTTTATCTTAAAAAGAAAAAAAGGCTTCCATTTAACATCATATTTTTTCAGATTCTCAATGTGTATATTACAAAATACGATGGTGGGGGACAGTTATGGCCCATTGCTCACAACACAACGGTGTTTTCATTGCTTGTCACTCAAGTTATTGCACTTGGGGTGTTTGGAATAAAACGGTCAACAGTTGCATCTGGATTTACCGTTCCACTGCTGATTGGTACCATTCTATTTCACCAATATTGTAGGCAGCGATTTCTCCCAGTATTTAAGAACAATGCAGCACAGGTGCGGTCCCTTACTTTCACACTATTTCTCCCCCCACTTGGTTGTCTCTCATTCACCCCTTTAAAACTAATAGACGGTTTGTTTGTTTCTTTTAGGTTCTTATTGACATGGATAGGAGAGATGAGCATTTTGGAAGGAAGGAGGAGATTTTTGAACAACTGCGTTCAGCCTACTGCCAGTTCACTACTTCTAGTCCATCTGAATGCTTTAGTAGTCATCAAGGCATGGACCGTGTTCGGACTCCAGAAGATTTGGAGACAGGTTTGCTTCCATCCAATGGTGGGGATTATTTCACTTTTCTATCTGAATCTAAGAATATGACAACTTGGCTATATTTGTTTTTTTTATTTTTTCAGGCACGGAAATCAGCCAAAAAGATACACAATGGCAAGTTCCTCGTAGTTTGAATTTAGACAAATCGGTTCTTGACGGGTAGTAATAGACTTCTTAGGAATGTAAATGTTATGAGAATCATCATGATGTGCCCTAAAAGGAGGCTGTGCATGAACAATTGCGATGATAATCAGATAATCCAGATTCCAAATACCTGTGAAGAAAATAGGAATTGGACTATACCGGAAAGTTTAGTTGATTAAACGAGTGGATGGATCTCTTTATGCTATCTATCCTATTTTCTATATGTAATTCAGTAATTGTAAATATGCTTAATAATTACAATGGCTAATTTTTTAAGTGTTACAGGTAACATTGTATTTCTTTCTCCTCTACATAGGTTTCATGAGAGAGAAGCCAATCTCATCTCCCTAGTCCCTATGCTCTTTTTTTATGTAAATAAATATGCATGATAAGTTGAAGGAATTGCAATATAAGGCAGAGGCACCATTGACATGATCGAATGATTCCTTTTAATTATTATTAAAGCCCAACAATTTCTTCAGCCGCAAGATCGTATTTTTAGAGGGCCGACAAGTAATTGGCCGGTTCCAATTTAATACTTAGAAAGGCCTATCAAGCCCAACATTTTAGTCCGGCCCAGTAAAACGGGAAAGAGATGTCCTCCCTACTCTAGAGTCGTTTCGCGTAGCTTCAGCATCCATTTCATGCCACTAGTTTCAAAATATACTGACACCCTTTATTTAAATATCAACATAGAAGAATGTAAGTTTGAAATTAACATTGTAGTCATATTGTAATTGAGCACCTTTTGGCATAAAAAAACACTACTTTTTGGTATAAAAAGAAAGACAAAAAAGGACTAAATATTGTAGTCATTTTGTATGATACATGCTAAAAGACATGCTTGTTTTGCGTATAAATATTAAATACATGAACCAAGGTGGAGAAGAATGATCCCGATTCTAAGATATGATACATTATCTTTGGTACTTTGACATAGAAATAGAGTGGGCCATGGTCGGCTATCATTTTATTGGAAACGGTACATTGTCTAACATTAAAAACATTCTGGATAAATAAAATAAATGAAATTAACGAATAAAACATGTTTGTCAGATCTAAGGGCAGGACTGAAGTTTGGGAAGTTTTCGTGTTAGTGAGTGTCATTATCATTGCATAAACAATGAAGGCCATTCCAAATTCCAATTTATTATATGATACGGATTTAAATTTGCTTAGGATCAGAATCCAGATAGAAGGGGACTTGTTATTTTAAAAAGAATTGCAAATGAATAATGCGACAAGAGAAGTCGTCGTTTCGCTGTTGTCACTGTTAGGGCATGCTGGCCTCAATCACGGATCGGAGTTAATTTGTTTTATTTAGGCTCTCATTTATTAATTACTATATTTGTAAAGTATTAACTAACTCACAAATCAAGTTTTTAAATCCTTGTTTTATGTTGTAGGATTGTTCTGTTACGTTTTTCTGGCTCGGGATATTCCTTTTAACTTTACAGAGCGAAATTATTCCTATTATAAACATTATTGTTTAAATAACCAATTGCTTATAGTTTATGAAGCATGCTTTTTAGATATGTTTTTACTTTTAAGCTCTTATGGCGTGCTTTAATTTGTGTAATTATGACATGTTTAACTAATCAATAGATCTGTTACTGATGGCTATAGAGATTGTGCGTGCATCTCAATTAATTACAAGAATGGTCCTTTTTTTTTAGAGTATTAAAGCTTTTCTTATGAATTATGATCAAGTAGAAGAAAATGCCGTCTTCTTTGAGGAATGACTGCAAACGGTTTTCTTCCCACAATTCAGATTCCATCTTGTTATCCAAATGATGATAGTTCAATTGGTGCATTAGAGTTAAACAGGTGAGAATGAAAGCAATTACGGAACCAAATTTTTTTATTTATATCTACACATTTACCAAACTTTTTCTTTTTAAAAAAAAATTAAATGCATTAAAAAATAAAAGAAAAACTGCGCTCCTCATCACCATTAATAACACGTTTAGAAATGTTATAGAGACAATTTATCTTATAGTGTTCCTCTTTTATTCCGCAATGAAGGATGTAGTATTTATTTTATAACTCCACATTTATAATATTTTCCTTTTAACTTTTATTAACTAAAATTAATTTTTTTAATTATTATAATAACAAAGGCTATATTGGTCCTAGAAATCTGTGTTGACAATAAAAATTTCAACCGTAGCATAACATTAATTATCTACATGTCCACAAAGTTAAATATGAATCTCCCTTATAACAATGCTTTCTTATATGGGTTTGAGTATTGAAATACATATTATTTCAAAATGCATATTCATTTTTTTTATGAATATAACTTTATGTGATAGACCTATGGACATTTGTTATCTGATGAACATATCTTTATGGGATGCACATGTATCAACAACATGCTTTATAAGTAACATGTCGTTATATCTGATCGCAGTTTTTTTTTTTTCTTCAAAAATTTGTGATTGTACTTGCAGTCATTTGCAATAACATAAATCCGCAATTGGGTGAGAGTATGTATTCGATTCTCCCTAGTATTATTTTTTAGAGAAATTTAATGTCTTAATTCTGAACCTGCTTCGAACAGATTCCTTAGAGGATATATGTAGTTTAAAAAAAAGATTGCCTCTTCTTCATTAACATCATTAATTGAAGCTACAAAATTGGATGAGACTAATTCTTTTGGTGAGCGTGAAGGTTTTCCCTTGAACACAGCTTGCTTGTAATCTGTGTCGTCCAGAAGAGAATATTTTGTGTAATTATAGGGTAATCATTTTCTCCTATTAATGACTCATGGCATAAGTGAGTTTCACTTTAATTTTTTTTCTCTTTCCACTAATTTGAGACCCCACTTATTTTCTCCTTTAAAACGATCCAGAAAATGTTTTCCCAATTATACAATTATTGAAAGAGTTGAATCGGTTAATGGGTACGGAGTTTGAAACTATTGACAAAATCATTAGCTACCCAATTTCACATTATGTCAACCAATTCTAACAAACCAGGACTATGGCTTACCAGACAATAACCATAGTCAACAAAAATTCATCTAAAAACATTACAAGTGTAATAAACTATATATATATGCAGTCAGCCAAGAAGAATTGAGCTTGATCTATATTATAATGACTTCTTTGACATTTTGAGCAAACAAGTAAAAAATGGTAGCGGTAGGTCTATAGACAAACTATTTTGTGTTGGATGTGATGACCAATGTAAAGGTAAATCATCTTTTTATTTCATCTTTTCTTTGCTTTTCACACTAGCTGGAAGCTAATAGCTAGAATATAGTGAAAGCCATCAGAAATGGGAGGTCCATATCTCTTATGTTGTGTCTTGTGAGGATCGATGGGATGATCTAATTCAACTAAATTTTTTTTAAGAAAAAAATCTAAATCAGGCTTTTTTTTCCATCATTTCTTTGTTTTAATTTAATTGATTACATGAGATGAAATTTAAACACTAGAACAAAATAGACACTAATTATTTATGGTTACTCTAATACACATATGACAAAAATAATATCTTCAAAATTCAGAGTAAGATATTACTAATAACCGGAGGTTGCATGTGTACTAGAAATAACCCATTGGATTCCAATTCCACGCATTCTACATGCCAACCAATTTTTTGTTACAGAATATAATAACTCTGTCCATAATTTCTGAAATGAAGGAAATTAAACATGTAAAATAGATCAATATGTATTCAATTTTTCCTGATATTTAACCACTTTTTGTCGTTAACAAGCATGACTACTTATTTGACCATATATAGCTATAGGTGACAACCATGTCTATTACAAATTCAACAATGGAATATATTATGCTTTTGATGAACATTGTACATGGTTGAAAGATATATCACGATGGCTCATGGCTCTTAATTTGTACACAAGGTTAAAGGTCAAAGCTGTGGTAGTAAACAAAATACTTTAGAACTGCAAAACTTTGACTTTCGTTAGTAATAAACTAATAATCATGGAAACCAACTCTTAGAAAGTTCAAGGTGTCATCATCACATATCAATGTTATCTACTTATTAAGACCTCATATTTTCTTGACACTAGCTAGTGTATTAAGACCTCAATGTTATCTATAGATGCATCACTGTTAATGGTTTATTATTGCTGGCAACGTGTAAATTAGGAAATGGTTATAGTATCCGAAGGGGAAAAACAAATGAGCCACAAAATAACCAACCTGGTGTAGTGAATTCAAAAATTAAATTTGATTCATAATATATGTACATGCATGTCCCTCTTGTTTCTGGAGGGAAAGCAAGAGTAAAATACATGCGGGGTACGGCCCTTATTAATTTAGAGAACATATAATCAAAGGGTATATTTCTCGAAATTACCTCAAATGCAAATCTAGCTCTGAAGGATTGAGCAAAGATACATAAATCCAGTACGAAGAGTATAAACTAATTTGATTTTGGCGGCATTTATTACCTTATATTTGCATTTCAATGTTGCAAACTACCATTATTAGACGAAGCTCGTTGAACTTTCAGCATCCAGTGCATAATATGCGTAACTACAGAATGAGTTTCAACTAAATATAAAAAATGGAAGGTTATATTTACAAAAATTTGTTTACAAACTATACTATTTCTGACCGATAATACACTCTTGAGTAGTGTATTACCAGTCAGACATAGTGTAGTTTGTAAAAAAAAGTTTGTTAATATAACCCTACTCATATATAAAATATAAAAGCTTATAATTGTTTTCGTATAAAATATGGATGCATCATATGTCTTATAACTGAACATCCTGCTGCAACTCATTTTTAACTATGTATTCTCGAGAGTACATCATTATAATATTAAAGTTATTTTTCTTTATTTATGTACTCCCGAAAATATATAATTAAAAAATAGTTACATAAATAAACAATATCATTCCTGCGACATAATTCATATAAAACCCATAAAATATAGTCAAAACTATACAGGACGATATTAGTAATGCATATGCTTAGATACTTTATAAGGAGTCAGGATCATATATGGCTTTTCAGTTTTCAATAAAACTAATTTCATAGGTGTCAATTAATTAATTAAGATATGCAAAATAGTATTTCTGATCCAGCTATGTAATAATAACATTGCACTTTCACTACATATATTCTTTTCTTTTTTATTACACTAGCGAGTGTCCTACACTCTTAAATAGTACGACCAATACTTGCTCAAACGTTAGCTTAGTCCTGACCATAAGATGTTTTTGATAAATTTTAAACCCTTACATACATTACATCATAGATTAAGTTTGCTAATTCACATGACGCTTTTGTTGTTTATGACACAGCTGCTCTGATATATACTATTTCATATATAGGAACTCATGATATCTATCAAAGTATTACAGTGATAGCTGAGGAATGATGATAGGTTCAGTTCTAAGCATTGTATAAACAAAACCCATTAATCCTGAATAATTGTCTACCAACGAAAAGCAAATCATTTGGAAAGTGACACTGATCTTCATATGTCAAAGAGTGGGTTTGTCGTACATTCAACATTAATTTAGCAATTAGTGAATACTATTGATTACTCTGATGTAAAGGCTCTAAATGTGTTTTGTCAGGGTGTAATAAACAAAATGCTCCCGGGGCCGAATGATCATGCCAATATTTGCAATGTTTTTCACCCACAAGACTGATTGCTTATAAAAGATAATAGAGATATATATGCATGTATATATGCTACTTAGCTATGTAGAAGTTACTTATTGATGGCCAGAAAATGCTAAAGAGAAATGCATTAATTTAGCGGCATGTGCTCAGAATTTTGTCTCCTACATGCACATAATAAATCATAAATATTGTGTGAAAATAACAGTACAAACCAGTAGTAGTTATGTTTTTTTTTTTCTGACAAATGCTTATCTTCAGCGACCCATGAAGTGAATAATTTAGGTCCCGTGCTGCAAAAAATATCTAGCTAGTTAGAACAAGAAGGATATTTAAACGACTCTCAAAATTACAGTCAAATAATACACAAACAATTGAACAAATCAGACAAACTGCACTGACACTATCGGATCAGCACACATAAGAAAGTCTAAGAAAGCAGACACATGCATCGCTAGTCATATATATCTAGCTGATTTTATTTATCTATATGGGAATCAAATACAAGCTTCCCTTTTGCAATAATAGGCTATAGTTCCAACTTCCAGCAATTGATAATAATAATAATAATAATAATGTACATGATACTATGGGTAGCTCAACTCTTGAAAAACACATTCTTCTGAGGTCTCTTGCCGCAAACACTGGTAATTTGAAGCAACAAGAGGTGGATAAATCACAGTGCTTGTCTCACCCCAATTGGTACTTTGGATACAAGTAGGAGTATCTATTATCTTATCAGTGATCATGTCCTCCCCATGGAAGAACTCCAATCCACCAAAAGTTTGTGGATAATTAGTAGATACCATTTCCCCAATTGTTGCAGAGAAACTTCCTTGTCCTTGCACGTAGTCAAATCCTGCGGCCACCTCAGCACAATACAGATTATTAGTCTGAGAAAATTGTACTTGATTGTTGTTAATAGAGTTCATGCAACCAGCTGAAGAGCCAATATTGTGGACTTGTTCTTCATGAAATTGTTGTGTTGTGGGAGTGCCATCTGGGAATTGAAGATTCAACCCATCAAGGGTAGGATGGTAATCATCAGGGAATCTCCCTCCAAGTTTAATTAGCAATTTTCTAATAGAATCTTGGTCGTTGAAACTACTGGGACCTTGATTTGTGTATGGCAACAACGGTGGCAGCACAGGAATCTGTGGCCAATATGGCTGTTGTTGAGTACTATTTTCCCCACTCCCTCTCCCTCTATTGCTTTCTTGCTTAACAACAACACCGTTTCCTTTATTACGTGACTGTTGCAATTCTTTACGATGCTTCCCTAGAAGCTTCTTCTTCAGCCTCGTGTTCCAATAGTTCTTTATATCATTATCAGTTCGTCCTGGCAATTGAGCTGCAATGACCGACCACCTGCGTTATTCATAACATCGATCGTTAAAGCAAAATCAAACTCGGTTGAAAAACCAAACTAGTTAATTAATACATCACTAATTCAGGAACTAACACCAAACAAATTAATTAACACCTCTAGCTACCTGCTTCCAATACTAACGTAAAGGCTGCAAATAATGTTGTCTTCTTCTTCAGAGAAACCTCCGTGCTTGATATTAGGGCGAAGATAATTTAGCCACCTGAGACGGCAACTCTTGCCACATCGCTTAAGACCTGATTCAGAAATGAAACTTTGAGATACCAAAAAAATACAAAAAAAATACACAGAAAAATTTCTTTATTGAATGAGTTAAAAATAAATAAATAAATATAATACCGATCTTTTGTGGCAAAGCGATCCAGTTACCACCGGTTCCGTGCTGTTCGATGTAGGATTTGAGCTTAGCATCTTCTTCTGGAGACCAAGGTCCTTTCTTCACGTTTGCTTTGTCACAGCAAGGTGCCCTACCCATGTTGTTGCTCTGAGCTTGATTATTGATTCTTTCTATGTATATTGATGGTCAGAATAAGAGCGAGAGATATAGTTATTAATTATAAAACTGGGAGAGGATAAACATGATTCCAAGAACATCCCATCATATCGTACTATTTTTATATATAAGGGGGTGTGGCAGAAAAGAAAGGTACTTGTATATACAAAATTCCAGAAATTTAGTATTGCCAGGATAGGAGAATAAGGTTTGTTCTTCTTGTCTTTCTTAAACAGGAATCAATTTTTCTTAGTACCTTTTTCAAGTCCACTCCACTCTGACCCTCTCTGTCCAATGATATACAAGCATGCGACATGTCTAAAACCCTCTTTCTTTTGGTTTTTATACCTCTCACGATTTGAAATTAATCTTTCTACCAAGGAGAGCAGCATATATAAATAGATTTTTCTTTTCATGCATCAATAAAGCTTGAACCTTTTATCCTTCTCTTGTCGGTCTAAAACCCTGTATCATTATGGGACAATGAAGTACATGGGTCAGTTTTCCCTCCTATAGTATTGCTTTATATTATTTCTTTACAAAATTGGTATACATTACACCCCTTGAACCACAATTTTATTGCCTTAATTATCAGAACATTCGGTTAATATTAGATACTGCAACATTTTTATTTGGCGAGTGTTCTACTATCATATTTAAAGAATTTTATGTCATAAAAACAAGTATTATAACCTTGTGACAATTATTTCGATGATTTAGTTACACCATTAAAAAGCGATGGAATTATTTCCCATTTCAGTAGTTTTCCCCCAAAGCCATATAAGAAGTATTTTTTTTTTTTTATCCAAATCGATTCAAACATTATTAGACTCATATTTTTTCTTTTTTTGGAGAAATGGGAAAAGACTCGTACTCATAGACTCATATTGGTATATAGCTCTTCTAATATCATTTGAAAATGGATCCTCTCTCATGTAGAAAAAAAACATGACATGGTTATACGAGAAGATCAAAATCATATAAAGGTGAATCAATGGTTATGATTTTGTAACTATCTATTTTAATATTTTCTCTCTCTCTTTCTTTGTTACCATTGATCCATCTTTGAATGATTATGATTCCTCACCTGATCATTTCATATATTTTTTTAACATGATATGATCCAGACAATTGGTGTTAGAAAGGGTAAAATTTTCATCCTTTTTAAATTATATATGTTTTAACACTTAGTACTCTAACACACATAAACATTATTCTGATTTGGCTAGATAAATTAAAATTTGTTTAAATTTTTGGACAGCAAAATGGGTCTGAGTTGATATTTGTCAAGATTTAACAATCCAAGTTCTTTAGCACTGTCAGTCATTTAAGTTTGAAGAGAGACTACTATATATAACGTAATTTCAACAAAAATATATGTATTTTTTTATCACTAACATATGCCGCTAACTTAAGACCCATTGACCCCGAACGGTAGACGTATATGGCACAACTCTATCAATATACCTTTTACCTAATATTATCAAAACGATAGACGGTAGTAAAATTCTAGCTCCCATCGACCATTAGATTATAAAAACTCATAATAAAAATTATACCAATTCAAAAATTGAATCAATGTCCACAAATTTCTGTTGGAATTAATGAACAATGATCTATTTGTTATGAATAAGAAGTGGGTTAATAAAGAAAAGAGAGAAGGGAAGTTAAAGAGGTGTGTGAGTTTTACCAAGACCTACATTGGACAAATAGTAGGAAGTGTGAGAGTTTATAAGCTCCCACCTCACTCTCATTATTTACTTTTCAGAACATGTCTGCTGACGTGGAGAGAGAAAAAAAACTTTAGTGTTATAACTATGTTCTTCCGAGAGAAAATAGTTCCGGGAGAACTTAGTTATAAAAGGGTAGCTGTAGAATATATATATATATATATATATATATATATATATATATATATATATATATATATATATGTGAGGCATGATATTCTTACACCAGTGTAAGAGTTAAAAATCTTACACTCAATCTTGAGCATTGATCCACTTGTATCCAATGGCTCACTTTACTAAGAAATTAGAGCCCTTAGATATAAATGAAATAAATGGTGAAGATTGAGAGTGTAACTTACACTGGTATAAAATGATCCTGATTCGATGGTAATTTTGTAAGGTCAGTAATTAACAAACCAAACTTCACCCAAGTTAGGAGATTAAAAACCATGATATTGAATTTTATCACCACTTGTCACATCCATCTCATTGAGTTTGGAACCCTAGTGTTCTAAAATTGAAAGGCTGTAAAGTTTCTAGAAGCAAAAGAGATAGGGCACTACCGGGATTGAACCAATGTGGAAAATTTGAAGCTTTTTCTTCCTTTTTGGTTGGTGAACAAATGACCTACAAGGCAACGGGTTAATAAGAAGAACGCCGTGAGGACCGAGGCAGCAGGTTGACCCGCGAGCAAGCAATACCCTTTCCCCAATATACCGCCCTCAGTTCAGAGTCTCAAACCATAAACAAAATTTCGAAAAGAGAAGAAGAGAGTGGTAGTTCTCAAGAAAGAAAGACAAGGGTGGCTTCACCCCCTCTGCCCCCGCAAAATGAAAGCATTCGATAGTTCATTTGCATAAAAAATTAAGAGGGGGATATTCTTACTACCAAAATTTTCTACTACCAACTTACTACCTATCTAATCATCATTGGATCAACATTTTCTCTTTTTTCAAAAACTTTGTAGCATTCTCTCTCTTAAATTCAATGGTGATTAGATAGGTAGTAAGTTAGTAGTAAAAAAATTTGATAGTAAAAATATCCTCCCTCAAAAACCAATTCATATATACTAAAAGAAAGCTTAAGCTGTTGGCGAAACTTTTTAAATAGTTTGTATTATTCTCTAATACATCCTCTCATATTAGCGTTAAGTGAAAGGGTGGATGGTGTTGGAAATTTTCGTAAAATCATATTTCACTAAGAGTCTGTTTAGATCCTCTTATTTTTAAGTTAGAAGTTATTTATAAGCTAAAGCTAAAAAAGAGAGCTTAAAAAAAGAAACTAAAAGCGGTTTGGAAATTACATAAAAAGTATAGTTTAAAAATTAATTAAAAGCACATATTTCAAGAAAATTATTTCTCTCTCTATCTTTATCACTCTTCATTTAAAAAAAAAAAACACACAATTCAAGAAAAACAGATAAGAGCTTAAAAAAAACTCCTCCTAGGAGCTTTTAGTTTTCAGCCTTTTTCTTCACTATAAAAAAAGAATTTTTTATTATAAGAACTTTTGTCAAAACTTATTTAACCTAACTTATACTTATAAATAACTTCTAACAAAAAAAAAAAAAAAAACAACACTAAACTTCTACATATAAAGAGAGGATAAACTAAAAATAAGGATTAGCATGCACTAAAACTCAAAAGTCACATATAGGTGTGCCTAAAAAGGGTGAAATAGTAATTTAACGTATCTAGTGGGTAGGGATGCCAGTGTCACATCATGGGCGTCACTTGGTTGACCATAAGGTCCTCCATATATCCTCCTTGTTGGGTTGGCCACGTGTTAATGCTTTACAGACTTGAATTATGAGCACCAGCGCAGCCATGTAACAGTCGCAGGTTAGTTACGCAACAAATTGATCTGTAATCACACTGAGATTTCACATCAATGATTTGGAGTGAAAAGTTTCAGATTTTGGTCCTGTTTTCTGATGAGCCAAAGTGCTGGTTACCTTGCAAATAGTACCAAAAGGGATAAAGCTAATTCAAGCTTTTGTTCATATGTCTGTATTTTTTTAACTCTAATTAACGAATTCGACTAGGATCCATGGTATTTAATTTTGAGGAGTTACAAACAATCAACCATGGATGACACTTTTTCTTCACCTAATGTTTATTGTTTATGTCCCAATGAATCTTTAACGTGCGCAACGAAATTACGGAGTCAACGAATCGATTGTGGTACCAATTACAATAATTCGGACAGAGAACATTGCGAAATAAGGAGATCAGAGCTAAAACTAGCTCTATGTATATTGTTTCTGACACGTGCTTGTTTTTATTGACCATTGATCATCTTATGAAACATAAATCAAAGACGCATTCAAAAAAGGTGCAATAGAAAAAGGATGATTATTAGAAGAAGGAAAAAAAAACTTGAAAGATATGGACAACAATTCCAAAGACATGGTTTAGCGGAGAATAGAAGCAAGCTCTAGTTGTATAATGGTAATTAAATAAATCAGTGCAAGGACAAAAGGTCTCTGCTGCCGAGTAGGGCAGCCAGCATATTATATACGTTGTAATTTCCAAGCTTGATTTGACCTAAATGTTTGAAAAATCAATCATTTCTCGACAATCTCCTTCCTCACTAGTCAAGTAATACAGCTGAAGCCAACTTCCTCCCCGGGCCTTGTTATCTTTTTTATCACCAACTTCTAAGTATTCTACAATAAAGGAGTCTACAATAATAGATAAAAACAGGATAAAGGAAACCTAAGAGAGAAAAGATTAATGAGTACAAACCAACGCAGATTTTTTGCACCCTGTGAGATATATAGGCTTGCTTGCATGCATGCATGTGGACAATGACACAATGTTATAAATCATGTCAAAAGATGGTTTTCTAACACTTGTTTAATTATTTTCATTTATTCATATATACGACATATATGGGTTGCATTCCATTTGGAAAAAAAAAAATCAGGGCAATCATGACAAAAGTTAGCTAATCAAATGTACTTAAGTACAGAATTCAACTTAAATCAAGAAGAAAGGCTTGATTAATGGGGTCATATTTCACATCTAAGGAGAGAATCAGTTTTATGATGAAAGTGACTGCGGATTTGGACTATTGCAAAGAACTTCCTATGTGAAATTAATGGACATAGAGAAAATATTAACGTAGTGAAAATGAAGGGTTCAAGAGTCCGACAGCTTGACTTTTTATGGGATTGGGATGGGTTCATTGAACAGTAATTAGTTTGCTATTTGTTCTACGTGGCGTCTTTCAGTAGCTGTAGGTCCTACTTAGTTTATTTAATGCATGGCCATTGTGCATGCACCATGGCCTGATGCAAGTCAATTATGATTTATGACCATAATATGGGGGCTTTTTGACGATGGTGTCGTTTTTTATCATCACTTTGTCCCTGTTTCAAAACATTTTATTAATTTGTGTCTATTTGACTGTTGACCGACTCATATATATACTCTAGGACATTATCTTATACTTGAGTATATTTTGTATTCTGGGTTTTTTTTTTTACTATTTACTCAAGTATATGACCCAGATATATATTCGAGTATTTGTTGTTCCACGCAATATACTTGAGTATTTGGGTATGTACTCAAGCAAATATTCAAAAACTTTCCTACACAAATTTTTTTAACGCATAGCTCTTGAAAAGTTATTTGGAATAAAAAAAAGCACATGATTCGGACACCCGAGTCAAAAATTATGATCTTTCGAAGTTTTACTCTAAAATTTTGTAATGCCAATAGGTTTTGTGATACCCACAAAGCTCCCCTAAGGTTACTGAAGTCAAGTCCAATATTATGAATATATAACTATAGAAACTTGTTTGATCTAAAAAATCTCGTGAAAATAAATTTAATCGTAAAACTTCGAAAGACCATATTTTTTTAATCAAACAAGTTTATATAATCATATACTCATAATATTGGTCCGAAAAATGTTTCTTTGTGTCCCGTTTGGCATCTTTTTTCTTTGTGAATGATGTTATTTAAATTTTTTATTTTCCAACACTAACAAATAATTCGTAGCACTCGAAAAGTTATGTGGAATAAAAAAAACACCTGATACAAACACTCGAGTTAAAAGTTATGGCTTGATTCAGACACATGATTTCAAAGTTTTATGATTAAATTTTTTTCACGAGATTTTTGGATCAAACAGGTTTCTATAGTCATAATATTGTGGACTTGATTCAAGTAACATGAGGGAGAGCTTTGGGAGTATCACAAAACTTATTGGCATTACAAAATTTTGAAAGTTTTGGAGTAAAACTTCGAAAAGCCATAACTTTTAACTCTTGTCCGAATCATGTGCTTTTTTTAATTCCACATAACTTTACGAGAGCTACGAGTTGAAAATTTTGCTTTGGAAATTTTATGAATATTTACTCGAGTACATGCTTATATATATTATGTGGAATAGCAAATACTCGAGTATTTGAATCTTATACTCGAGTAAATGTTCAAAAAAACCTAGAATACGAAATATACTCAAGTATAAGTTCATGTATTTGAGTATATGAGTTGGTCAATGGTCAAACAGGTACATATTAGTGAAATATTTTGAACGAGGAGCAAAGTGGTACTTATTTTGGTCAAAAAGGGCACAATGATTAAAAAAAAAAAAATCATAATATGGGTGGCATTTTTATGCTGTGAATTTATAATTTATTTTTCCCGCATTTGAAGGGTAAGTTAGCTTAATGCCAGTGTTCCAACAGGACGAGATATGGTATCAAGTACCTATGCGGCTCTGCCCATGTGGTATTATTCACGGTTAGCAGCAACTTCAAGTTTATACGCTATGTTAAAGCTTTATTTTGCTCCCTCAAAGTTTTAGTTCAAGTTTTGCCATTGTCTAGCTGTGTGTGTCATTTTATGCTTTTGCTAAGACTTGTGAATTGTGATACGCTTATTCTTTTATTATTTTTTTCACCCCGACTTATCCGGTTTTGAATTTGTGTTTCTCCATCTTATTCGGAAATTTCAATTCTCAATATTTAAATTCATTATTCTTTTAACAATTTAAACTCTGAATTCTAACTGAATCACCCTTTAGACCAACAACTCTTAGAATGTGATGCCCTTATTCTAAACCTAAAACGAACAGCCGCCTCCATCGTTCGATTTTTTTAAAGGTCTTCTTCACTCTTTCTCTTTTATTTCTCTCTCATTTACAATTTTTTATTTTCATTAAATAGATATTTACCAAAATATGTGATTTACCACCCCCAATCATTTATAACATATGCATTCAATTAAATTCATATTTTAAAAATAGAATTATTTATAATTATTATGAAGTATATTACACACTCAATAAAACAAACACCCTATTATAATAAGAGTTTACTTTTTCTACAATGTAGATAACTTATCTTCATTGAGCCTAAAACGACGTCGTTTTGAGGCAGAAATCAATGTATTTTTGTAATTATAACTTATTTCAGGGTTATAATAGTCTTTTTCATTATAATTTTTAATTTTTTAACCCAAAACGACGTTGTTTTGGGAGCGAATGTAGATAATTTATCTACATTCACTTTAGAAACGTTAAAGCCTTGTAATAACTAATATTTTCTTGTAGTAATTAACCTTTATAAATATGGATTCGCTTTTTCTACCGTCAATGTAGATAAATTTACATTGAGCCCAAAACGATGTCGTTTTGATAAGGAAATCAATGTATTTTGGTAATTATAATTTATTTCAGGATTATAATAATATTTTTTCATTATAATTTTTTAATTTTTTAACGCAAAACGACGTCGTTTTAGGAGCGAATGTAGATAATTTATCTACATTCACTTTAGAAACATTAAAGCCTTTAAATATACTATAATATAATATTTGATTATAACTAAAACTCTTTAAACTATCGGTTAATTAGAATCAAATAAATAACAAATAATTTTTTTATTCAAAAGATTTAAAAAAAAAAGTGTTATCATGTCCTAAAATAAGTAGGCGGTTAGTAACACTAACCAGTCATCTTTTTATTTGTACTGGCCCATTTGTTCTATTGCTGTGGGTCAAGTATATCTTTAATATTACCGAAGTAGATATTCTACTCAGTCTTCAGTATTACGAAGAATAGATGGGATATTTACCGGCGGGTCAGGTTTGTTGTTGCAATACCATTGTTTTGGTAAAAAGGCTTAAATGGATCTGATTTAGATTGGTTTGATTTTTCCAACTTGTTTGGGCTTGATCCGATGAGCTCTGAGTCCTCGACCTTGTCCATTTGGCATAGTTTATTAGCAGTCCCAACGTATAGTTGGATCGACTCAGCCCGGTCGAACGAAAGACCTTTTTTTTCTCGTGTTTTAAGTAAGTTTAGCCGTTTAGGTCCATAAATAATGAACTTAAAAGTGGGGGCAAAAAAGCCTCCAAGACGCGCTGGAGGAAAGATAAGCACAATATGCTATCTTACCCCATGCATATCATATGCCCTGTTTTTTCTTTTCTTTTTAAATCCAATCCTTCTGTTATCCTTTGCAAATCTTTATCCCAAAAATGTTTCATAGTATTCTGATAATTAATATAGAAAAAGACATAATTCGATAAAATAGAATCCAAACTTGCAGCCACGAATTTTTTTCTTGGAGTACACTTTTGAAGTTTTTTTTATACACAATTTCGATGTTCTCTAACTTATATACTTTGTGCATAACATTGTATATAATACATGTGATTCATGATAATGAACAACATTAACCTGTGAACAACAGTATTTTTGGCCACATTTTCGTTTATGATAGCATCAAGAACATTTGTCAACTTCAACGATCCATCCCTTCTTATCTTCAATAATACCCGTTTGAATTCCAAAAAGGATATTGTATAGCTCCTGACAAATGGTTCCAGAACCTGTTTTATATTTCATCCTGCATATGTATAACAATGTTTCATGAAATTTTGAACACATCTGATGCTATATACCGTGTTCTAAAATATTACAATGAAAAGATATAGTAATAAAATTGAAAATATATCTAAAGAGTTCAATATATATATATATATATATGAACAGTGATCATTTTGTCACTGTTGGCAAAAAAATTTACCAGACTGTCACGCCAACAGTAAATTTTTCCAAAATGTCACGTGGCATATTTCGCTACACTGTGTAGCGAAATATGTGTGCAAATAATTCGCTACACAGTGCAGCGAAATATGCCACGTCAGAACCAAAAATGCCACGTGTCAAACAGGGAGAATTTCGCTACACAGTGTAGCGAAATTCTCCCTGTTTGACACGTGGCATTTTTGGTTCTGTGCATTCTGACGTAGCATATTTCGCTACACTGTATAGCGAATTATTTGGACACATATTTCGCTACACAATATAGCGAAATATGCCACGTGGCATTTTGGGAAAATTTACTGTTAGCGTGGCAGTCTGATAATTTTTTTTTGCCAACAGTGACACTTTGGTCACTGTTCCTATATATATATAATCAGATAAAAAATAGTAACTTTTGTTCATCTAAATTTTGTATGTTTTCTTGACTATATTATATTCTAATAATTCCCCCCCGCCCCCCCCCTATATATATATGTATTGCCATTACTTTACCTTCTATTCTGGTATGTGATACTCCCTACAGGAGCAACACCAACGGCAGTTCCTGTGCAGAAAACTTCATCAGCCTCAATCAATTCATCCACGGCTACAGCACGCTCTTCTACCTGAACCAATTTGGACAATCAAAATAAGCATATTTGAAACAGAAAATAAATATAGAAAATTTGATGAAGGATAATTCAAATTTATACTGTGTGTGAGAAAGGTTGATCGTGAATTCAGAAAGCATAAAGCAAGAAACAACTAAATGCAGAATGAATATTAGTTCCCGTTATCAAGTCTGAACCTCAAATATGTAGTGCTACCTGATAGCCGAGATCACAAGCAATTTCAATGATACTTTTTCTGGTAATTCCAGCAAGAATGGTTCCATTGGTAGCAGGTGTTAAGATGTATTTGCCCTATGAAATTGTAATACAAATTAGATTGGCCAGTTAGAAATAATTTGTTGTACAGAGTAAATTTCACCAGATCGTTGAATTAGAACATGCGCAATAGGGAAAGTAACAATTCAACCCAACATCAATTATCTGAAAACCCTTTTTTTTTAGTACAATTGTCATGTTTTCTATCTTACATTGCATGTTTGATCATATGATCTATTAAACATAGAGAATAGCTCTCCTTATTCATTACAATCCCTGGTTGCATGACACATTTGTTGTCTGTTTGTCTTTCTTTTATCAGTTTTGTGTAATTTTCTAGCATTATATTAGATGGAACCTTAACAGCATAACTTCAGGTTCTGAAAGACTTATCATGTGTTCTTAACTTACTGTGCAATTTTCTTTTGCAACATGCTTAGAAAAAAACATACCTGATCTATCTTTATAAAAATTATAATAGAAGGGAAAAATAAAACTAATTCGAAAATATACCTTGGCAATAAAAATGTTACAAGAAGAGACCTCCTCCAGATTTTTCTTGGAGACTGAATCAAGGTATAACACATCCGAATATCCTCTTTCCTTGGCTCTAATTTGTGCCATCAAGACCTACATGTCAAGACAGGTAGTAAAATTAAATACTCTAGTATGCACGGGATCTGAACCCCATCAAAGTCTGTTCCTTTCTGTCTGTGATATGTCGTGCGAATTGCTCGGCTTGCAAACCTGTTCTCCCCTCGTCCCCTTTTTATATATTCCAAATTCGTCAAGTGCATACTTCTGATATTATGTACTAATATAAATTCCTAATACATATATGCTATAATAATAATAATAAAAAGAGCAAGGCACATGAATTGAGGAAAGTTGGGATTGGGACCAATATTACAGGGGAAGAATATTGTAAAAATCAATTAGTGTTATTACCAATCAATTTTATCGTTAAATTGATTATGTTATCAAACGATTATATTTATTTTCATCTTTGTATGGTTATGATTCTCCATATTTAATACTTTTACATTAAATATGGAGAATTATAACCATACAAAGATATAAATAAATATAACCGTTAGATCAATATAATCGATCTAACGGTGAAATTGATTGATAGTAACATTAATTGGTTGTTATAATATCCTACCCCATTATACTATTGTTAATTAGATTAATCTGGATTCCGCGCCTAAAGAGAAATAAAATAAAATAAAGCAAGAGGCATTTTGTACTAATGTTTTACACACACGACAAGTTATTTGCTCTTTGCTTGATTTCAGTGAAAGACTTGAAATATATACCGGGGCATAATTGGAGATGGTTTTAACGCTTCCAGTACCACGTCGAGAAGCACGGTCAAAATCCTCCTCCACGTACAAGTTGAGCGGCGCCGAACCTTCCTGTGGTGCGAATGAAAAAAAAACTCGAATTGTTGAAGTAAATTGAAGTCACTGTTAACTATTATATCTAGCCAGCTATAATTAAGAAAAGAGAGAAAATAAAATAAAAGTTTCACTAACTTTGAAATAGTTGCGAACAGGGGAAGCATATATGAGGAATGTGTATTCAGGTGCTGGAGCCAAACCCAAAATTGGACCACTTCCTAAGAGCAGAGGCCTAAGGTACAACGACCCTTTACCCGGTGGAGGAACCTGCTTAGTGATTACAATGATGAGTCCAAGTATACATTGTCAAATGACAGGGTTAAAATGTAGCACGTACACACATGCAAACCAAAAACATTGTGTGTCATTTATTTTAGAATAAAGACTTGAGATGAATACTCATACCCAACGCTTATTTGCCAAGGCAGTTTGCTTCAAAGCATCAACAAATTGATCAATGGAAGGGGATGTCATGCACATTCTTTCGGCACCAATCTTCATGCGAATGGCATTTTCTTCTGGACGGAAGAGGAGCAGGTTCCCGTTTTCTTTTCTGTATGCTTTGGTTCCTTCGAATAATCCCTATGTTTAGATTTCAAGAATGTTCGTCAGAGCACTTTTTGCTTAATCACTCGTGCACGGTTAACTGAAATTTTAAGGTAATATTTTAAGGCAATAATAAAATAACTTTTAACAAGGATTTTGTTGTCTTTTTCAATTGTTATTTTAATGCATTTTGAATTTTTGATTGGTTGAGACTAAGGACGGAATAGTGACTATTTTGTCACTGTTCATCATAAAATTTACCAGAATGCCACGCGCACAGTAAAAATTTCCAAATTGCCACGCAGGCTAATTCGCTACACAGTGTAGCGAATTAGGCCTGCTAATGTGTCACCTCCCCACTGATCAGGCTGACCTTTTGACCACGTATTTCGCTACACTGTGTTGCGAAATATGTAGACCAGTGAGGAGGTGACACATCAGCAGGCCTAATTCGCTACACAGAATTTTTACTGTGCACGTGACATTTTGGTAAATTTTATGATGAACAGTAGCAAAATGGTCACTGTTCCACTAAGGACTCACTCTGCTCATGCTAGAAAATATAATATGTTTAAAAATAGAATTTTAGACAATGGCCCCTTGGTTCGTCGGTCTAGAAAATAAAATTTTAAAAACTTATATACGTTTACAATTTGAAATAGTTATACTCTATTATTTAATTAAAATTTAAGTTTTTAAACTCCCTTTAAAAATATCATTTTCATATAAAATAAAATAGAGAAAGGTTATACTGACAACCTATTTTCTTTACAACCTCTTACAATCATATATATTAACCGTTGATTTCCGCCAATCAACGGTTATCATTTATTGTGATTTAATAATTAATTAATTAATAAATTTTGCAACCGTTGATTTGCGGAAATCAACAGTTAAGATATATGGTTGTAAGAGGTTGTAAAGAAAATAGATTGTCAGTATAACCTTCCCTTCTAAAATATTTTTTTAATATTCATTTTTTTCAAAATTAATTCTTGCAAAATTAACTCTACAATAATTTAAACGAAAGATACCTTACTCTTTAGGAGACAAGATATGAAGATTAATGAGATTGTAATAACACGTGGAACTAGGTGTCCGTTCGTAGCAGTATGGGTCCCAGAAATGGATAAGTTTCTCTTTTTCTTCCTGTTCGCAATATTTACATAAATTCCTAAGATAGCCATGAGTGGTTATGTTTATTTATTTATTTTTTTGATTTGACTTTGTTGAATAATTTATCCCAAAAAACTGAGGTTGTCCTTGTTGTATATGCATTGAGTATCCCTATAAGTAGCCTTATTGTATATTCAGTTATGCATATTAGTTAGGGGCATTTAAGTATTTTCGTTATAACCTTTGTAAAATGCTGCGTTTCACTTTGTATAGGTTAATATACAAAATGCAGTAGTCATTTTATTCATTCAGTTTTTTACTTGCTTTCTCTCTCACCGATATTCATATGCAAAAATCCCTAACTCATGCTTTGCTAGGGTTTCTCTTGAAACCTGATTTCTGATCTCTTAATCAAGATTGCTTGGTTGGTTCTCTTCTGTCTTTGCTTTCCTTGCTATGTTTGCAGGTTCCAATCGGCTGATTGGTGGTTCTCTTGAAGAGTGAAGCTTCGGTGGTTGAGAGTGAAGGAGGTTCCGGTAATGCAAGAAGGAGACGTTCTTGTGAGGAGCTGTTCTGGTAACTCAAGTGTTCTTGCGTGTGACCGTGTGCTGCTATATGATTCCTGTGATTGTAGTAGCTCACAATGTTGAGATTCTTGATGTTGTTTCTGTATTTTGGGGCTTAGGGTTTTTCGTTTGGGGCTTTGTTTATTAAGTCTGCATATGAATATTGTATTTCTTTTTTCTTGATTTAATTAGTGCAAGTGTCAGGGAGTGCTCTCCCTAATTGATCCTTGACGTAGGAAACTTGGTAACACAAGTTTCTGAACAAGTAAAAATCCTGCGTGTGATTTTCTCTCCTTACTCCTCTTTTCTGTTTTAACAAATAAAAGAAAACCAGAAAATTCTCCAATGTAATTTCAACAATTGGTATCTAGAGCTTAGGTTGCGTGCCTCCTGTTTCCTGCTTCTGTGCTTTGTAATTGCTTATTCATGTTGATTGCCTTCTTTCTTGCAATTCTTTATTGCATGCTTTATTCTGCTTCTGTAATTACTGTTGTTTCTGAATTCTTTATTTCAAGAATATTATCTGTTATTTTTCCGCGCTTCCTCTCCCCTTCTTTCTTGTATCGCGTCTATTCTGGTTGCTGTCTTGGTTGCTGAAAGTCATCAAGATGGGCACTGCACGCGTGGAGGTGGAGAAATACGATGGCAAAGGAGACTTCAATATGTGGAGGAAGAAGATGAAGGTTGTATTGGTTCACCAAAAGTGTTCCAAGGCATTAGGTAGTGCTAGGGATCTACCTGACACCATGAGTGCTGAGGATAAGGAGGAAATGTTGGAAACTGCATTCAGTTTGCTGATTTTGCACTTGACTGACAATGTGCTTAGACAAGTGGATGATGAAACCACTGCTGCCGGGGTTTGGTTAAAGCTGGAATCCCTTTTCATGACTAAGTCCTTATCAAACAAAATTTATCTTAAGGAAAAATTGTTTGGATTTAAAATGGACTCTAATAAATCATTAGATGAGAACTTAGAAGAATTTAAGAGGATAACCATAAGCTTGGCTAATACGGATGAGAAGATCTCTGATGAAAACCAAGCCATTATACTCCTAAATGCCTTGCCTGATGCTTTCGAGGATGTGAAAGCTGCAATTAAGTATGGTAGGGAGTCTTTGTCCCTTAAGGATGTGTTGACAGCCCTTAGGTCTAAGGAATTGGAGATGAACTCCAATAAAAAGGCTCCTATAGAGGGGCTGAATGTCAAAGGAAAATCCAAAAAGAAATCCCAGTTTAACAAGAATAAGGGAAATAATAATAATCAAAATAAAGACCAAGGTAAGCAGAAGTTAATCTGCTGGTTATGCCACAAGGAAGGGCACATGAAAAAGAACTGCCCGGAGAAGGGAAAGCAACAAGCTGCCCCTTCTAATAATCACAAGACAGATTATGCAAATCTATTGACTGGTTATGAGAGTGGTGAGCTGCTGGTCTTGTCTGATAACTCCACTGATTTGGAGTGGGTGTTGAATTCTGGGTGTATATTTCACATGACACCCAAGAGAGAGTGGTTAAGTGGTTTTAAACCATTTGAGGGAGGTAAAGTGTTAATGGGAAATGATGATACTTGTCAAGTAACAGGTATTGGGTCTGTCAGTTTCAAGACGGGTGATGGGATTGTCAAAGTCCTAAGGGATGTGAGACTTGTCCCCACCCTAAGGAGAAATCTAATATCCTTGGGGATGTTAGACTTGAATGGTTACAACTTTAAGAGTGAGAAGGGAACTCTAAAGGTTGTTAAGCGGTCTAGGGTGGGTATGGTGGGTAAGCTAGTGAATGGGTTGTACATTTTAGATGGTGAGGCCATAGGACTGGAGTCCTGTGTGCCCTTGAAGAGTTCTGATTTGCCCCTTCTTTGGCATAAAAGATTGGGGCATATTAGCAACCAAGGGTTGCAAGAGCTATGTAAACAAGGGATCCTTCCTTTAAAGAATTTTTCCCCTCTTGGCTTCTGTGAGAGCTGCATCCTAGGGAAGTCCCATAGGCAAAGCTTCATAGCAGCCAAGAATCAAACAAAAGGGACCCTTGATTACATTCACTCTGACCTTTGGGGTTCTCCCAATATTCCTAGTTCCCTTTCGGGTTGCCACTACTTCCTCTCCCTTATAGACTCCTATTCAAGGAGGGTGTGGACCTATTTCCTAAAGCAAAAGGATCAGGCTTTTGATTGCTTTAAGGAATTGAAGGTTGCTGTTGAAACTGAGAAAGGCATGAAGGTTAAGGTACTCAGGACTGATAATGGTCTTGAATTTTGCAATAGTCAATTTTCTGATTATTGTAAGGAATATGGTATTGCTAGACATAGAACATGTGTTGAAACACCTCAACAAAATGGTAAAGCTGAGAGGATGAATAGAACAATTTTAAATAAAGTTAGATGCATGTTATCTGAATCTGGCTTGGGTAAAACCTTTTGGGCTGAGGCTGTTTCAACAGCATGCCATGTGATAAACAGATCTCCCTCATCTGTTTTAGCCTTTAAAACTCCCATGGAGCTTTGGAATAATAGAATTCCTAATCTGAACTACTTGAAACCTTTTGGGTGCTTGGCCTATGTACATTTTAAGCAAGATAAGCTTGGGCCAAGGGCATTAAAAGCTGTTTTCATTGGTTACTCTAAAGGCACAAAGGGTTTCAAGTTGTGGTTGATTAGTGAAAAGAAATGTATAATTAGTAAGGATGTTACTTTTGATGAGCTAACTTTCTACAAAGATATTTTGCAGGTTAAGGAGCAAAATAACCACCCCAATAAGGTCCAGCTGGAGGTGGAGCAATCTGCCCATACAAGGCAGAATTAATGTCTTTGATCCAGAGAGGATCATGAAGATTCTTCTGAAAATGAACAAGAAAATACTTCTGATGTCCCTAGGGAACTAGAGACTGAAAATAACCAGCAAGGACAAGTTCCTACTGATTATTTGTTGTCCAGGGATAGAGCTAGGAGGCAAATAAGACCTCCTAGCAGATTTGTACATGCTGATATTATTGCTTTTGCTTTGCAAGTTGCTGAATTGATGGAACAAGAGGAACCAACAACCTACATGGAGGCAATGAAGACAAGTACTTGGAAGGAATGGCATGCAGCAATGAAGGATGAAATGGATTCACTAATAAAGAACCAGACGTGGCTCTTAGTGGACAGACCTCAACATAAACGGGTAATTTGATGTAAGTGGGTTTTCAAAAGAAAACCTGCCATCCCTGGTGTAGAAGGATCAAGGTATAAAGCTAGGGTGATAGCCAAAGGCTATGCCCAAGTGGAGGGAGTAGATTATAATGAAATTTTCTCTCCTGTAGTTAAACATACTTCTGATATGTGCTCAACATATAAGGAAATCTAAACCAAAAAGAGAAAGAATGTGATTGAATCTTAAGCAAAAAGGGCGATAATCACTGTTAATCTGTCAAAATTCTTAATCAGAGATTGCATACTGATTTCATGTTGATTTCGTAGGAAAAATAGACAAATTGGAGCTAAAAAGGGAAAGCCAATCTGAAGGCCCACGCTCTTACCGTGGGTATGACGCCCCTAGCGTGAAGAGAGACCTTTCATACAGAGACAACCACGCTACTAGCGTGGGACTCACGCTAGTAGCGCCAGAGTTCCAAAACAGGCAGAAGTTACCACGCTACTAGCGTGGGATTGACACTAGTAGCGCCATCCTTTTTCACAACCCACGCTTGCAGCGTGGCAGCCACGCTAGTGGCGTGGAGCTCCAGGATATAGAAGAAAACCTCCCACGCTCACAGCGTGGATCTCACGGCAGTGGCGTGGGAGGTGCAGATAATTCAACATGGAATCTTTTTCAATCAGAGACAAGATCACAGTGAGATTTTGGAAAGAAATTGGACCAGACTTCTCCACTAGGTCAAGAACTCTATAAATAGAGACTCAGACCTCAAGAGAAAAACACACTTTTGCACGGAGCGACAAGAATCGGAGCAAGCCTTCGGTGACTGCCGATCAAGATTTCTTCTTTCATTCTTTCCGGTTATTTCTAGTTTTTATGAATTCTTTTGAATACTTTGTTTTGTCAGACATGAATATGTCTGGCTAGTTTTTTTATATTGTGGTAAGGGTCACAACCCTTGATGTGAACCCCTTGTATTTTGGTTAAGTTTATGATTAATTATTCAATTGAATTTATTTTACTCTGTTCTTCATCCCATAATTCTTTTAGAATTCGCGACTCTATTAGGATTGCGAGGGTTAAGGTTCACAATAGGGATATTGGGATTCTAATTCCTGACAAAGGGTAAGATAACTGTTCATGTATGCACTAGGGATAGACTACATGAACTGCAAATGTGGAAAATTCACTGGGCTTAAGGATTAACTTGAAAAGGGATTTCTAAGGGATTAGGATTCTAATAGGGTTAATAAGGTTAAGATCACTAACGGATTAGGGCTTAAATCATTAATTATAGATGGTGAATTATTTGGTCAATTGGGTAATTAAATATAAATATTAATCAATATTACAAGGTGGGGATCAGAAAGGTGTTGGCGTCCTTTTAATATTTTTTCTTTTAATATTTTTTCTCAAATCTCAATCTTTGTTTTTTTTAATTTCTTCAAATTTCTCTCTGAATTATTCACGAAATATTGAATAGTTTACAATTGTTACAAATACCATTATTTCCAAACCAACCCTTGTTCATCCAATAAGAAAGGAATAGTTAAATTTAAATCTGGTGCCTCAATCCTCGTGGGACGATATCTTACTCACTTTTATTACTTGGTACGATCGGTGCACTTGCCGATTTTACGCAATAACTTCTATTAGACTTCTTTTATCTGCTGTTGCTATTTTCAATTTAGAATTAGAACAGCTAGATGTTAAAACTGCCTTTTTGCATGGTAATTTAGAGGAGAAAATTTTTATGGAGCAGCCTGATGGCTTCATAAAGAAAGGCTCCAAAGACAAAGTCTGCCTTCTTAGGAAATCCTTGTACGACCTAAAACAATCACCTAGGCAATGGTACAAGAGATTTGATGACTTTGTGATATCACAAGGTTTCAATAGGTGTAGTTATGATCATTGTGTTTATTACTTGAATGTTGATGATGATAACTATGTTTACTTGCTTATCTATGTTGATGATATGCTCATTGTTTCTCATAACATAGATAATATTAATAAGCTAAAGGAAATGTTGAAAAGGGAATTTGATATGAAAATCTTAGGCCCTGCTAGAAGCATTTTAGGCATGGATATTTTTAGAAATAGAGATGCAAGAGTGTTGTCTTTGTCTCAATCACACTATGTGAAAAAGATTTTAAAACTGTTTGCTATGCATTTGTCCAAGCCTGTGAACACTCCTTTAGCTGCTCATTTTCGTTTGAAACCTGTATGTGGTGAATTGGATGAAACCGAATCTGTTTACATGCAAAAAGTGCCTTATTCAAATGCTATAGGAAGTCTAATGTATGCTATGATAGGCACTAGGCCTGATATTGCTCATGGAGTGAGTGTGGTAAGCAGATTTATGTCTAAACCAAATAGAGAACATTGGAATGCAGTAAAATGGATTTTTAGATACTTAAATGGATCTTGTGATAACTGTTTAAATTTTACTGCTGATGATTCTAACTTGTTTGGTGTAAAAGGATACTGTGATGCAGACTATGCAGCTGATCTGGATAAAAGAAGATCAGTGACTAGCTATGTCTTTACTGTTGGAGGGAATGTGGTTAGCTGGAAATCAAATCTCCAGCATGTGGTGGCCCTCTCAACAACTGAATCAGAATACATTGCACTGACTGAGGCAATCAAAGAAGCCTTATGGCTTAAAGGTATTGTATCAGAATTGGGACTTGGTAAGAATGTTCTCAAGGTTTTTTGTGACTCACAAAGTGCTATTCACTTATCCAAAAATGGTGCCTTTCATGAAAGGACCAAACACATAGATGTTAGGTTGCACTTTATTAGAGATATTATCTCTAATGAGCAGGTTGAGGTGGAGAAGGTCTCTACTTCATGGAACCCTGCTGACATTTTCACCAAGTTCGTTCCTGCAAACAAGTTTAAGGATGCCTTAAGCTTGTTGAAGGTTCTGGGTCAATCTTGTTGAGAATATATGATCAAGGAGGCTATCTCCATTCACTGGTACTTGCATGCTACCTTATGAGAATAAGGTGGAGTTTGTTATATATGCATTGAGTATTCCCATAAGTAGCCTTATTGTATATTCAGTTATGCATATTAGTTAGGGGCATTTAAGTATTTTCGTTATAACCTTTGTAAAACGCTGTGTTTCACTTTGTATAGGTTAATATACAAAATGCAGTAGTCATTTTATTCATTCAGTTTTTTACTTGCTTTCTATCTCACCGATATTCATATGCGAAAATCCCTAACTCATGCTCTGCTAGGGTTTCTCTTGAAACCTGATTTCTGATCTCTTAATCAAGATTGATTGGCTGGTTCTCTTCTGTCTTTGCTTTCCTTGCTGTGTTTGCAGGTTCCAATCGGCTGATTGGTGGTTCTCTTGAAGAGTGAAGCTTCGATGGTTGAGAGTGAAGGAGGTTCCGGTAATGCAAGAAGGAGACGTTCTTGTGAGGAGTTGTTCTGGTAACTCAAGTGTTCTTGTGTGTGACCGTGTGCTGCTATATGATTCCTTGCTGTGATTGTAGTAGCTCACAGTGTTGAGATTCTTGATGTTGTTTTTGTATTTTGGGGCTTAGGGTTTTTCGTTTGGGGCTTTGGTTATTAAGTCTGCATATGAATATTGTATTTCTTTTGTTCTTGATTTAATTAGTGCAAGTGCCAGGGAGTGGTCTCCCTAATTGATCCTTGACTTAGGAAACTTGGTAACACAAGTTTCTGAACAACTAGTGATCTTCTCTCCTTACTCCTCTTTTCTGTTTTAACAAATAAAAGAAAACCAGAAAATTCTTCAGTGTAATTTCAACCGTTCTTTTGGATTAGTATCTCGAAGTCTTTAATTGGTATATGCCTATATTCAGCAACTTTGAATGATTTTATTTGTTCTTAAGAAAATAAGAACAAATAAAATTTGAAATGATACCTACCTGCCCATAATTTAGGACTCCAGCTGATGGGCTAAGTTCAATGTTCCCATACCGATTAAGTTGTCCTTGTCCAAAACTATGGCCCGCCGTACATTTAGTAATGTACATGTAATCAGTTGGCATAAGTCCAAACCCAAGACTGTCCCAGTCCACGTCAGCATACTCATTGCTACTTGAATTCAAAAAAAAGAAAAAAAAGAACGAGTTAATTAATGCACACTAATCCCTAACAACAAAATAAAAGAAAAAATTACTCTTATGCTAGATGTGATATTTCTTACCTACCCTTTTGATAACTGGATCACCTTTTCCTTTTTTTTTAGATGATGGAGTTCATAAATTTGTCTCTATTGTATGAGATAACTTATCTCCTTTAAGATGAGATTAATAAAATCCAAAATAAAAACTTTAAATAGGATATAAAATCGTTACTTCTATATAATGTCGTTCAATACATTATGCAAGAAATTATTAATTCACCTGTAAGTTGGGTCGGCGATTTGAAGAGGGGAGGGCTGAGATGCATAGCCATTGTAAGCTCCGATCTGCCACAATATATTTGTGTGTTAGCATCACAAATTTAGATGAATGCTTAAATCAGGGACGGGACTGGGACATATTTTTCAACATCCTATCTAATTGTTTTTTCTTTTTCTTTTTTTATTTGAGTCGTAGGGATGGGAAGTCCAATATCCAATTTTCCACTCTTAAACCTCCTAATAAATTAAAATGTTTTTTTCATATAAAAGTATAGGTTTCTATTTTCTCATGTCACATGAAATAATATATCTCTTATGCTATAGACACAATAAATGATAGGTCTTACTACTTGTTAAAAAAATAAAAAGAAGAAAACACGGATTTCGATGTCTCACAACATGATAAAACAATCTCCAACAACATGAGAAAATGATTTCTCTAAAACTATATATAGAACGATCGTTTTATATTGAATTTAGACTGTCTGAACTGTTTAGATTTATACAATTATATTTATAATCTTTATTTTACTATAAATAAAGGGAGATGTTATATTTACTATTTCTTTTTCTTACTACCTCCTACTATTAAATCTTAACAGTTAATTTTCGTCAATCTAACGCTTAAGATTTATTGAAAATTAATAATTAATTAATAAATATGATCCAAGAAATTATAACCGTCAAATTGACAGAAATCAACAATTAAAATTTAGTAATAAGAGATAATAAGAAAAAGAGATAATAAGTATAATCTCCCCTAAAATAAGTATTTTTTATGATTCAGATCTTCTCTAGTTTATTTTTAGTTATAGAAGATCCTAACCCCATAACTTTTCCTTTTGTGGATAATAATAAACTTTTCCTTTTGACCACCAGAATATTTCTTTTATTTAATTAATTAACATGGGAGAATATTCCTTTTGACCACCAAAAGGAAGAGTTACCATTTTGTGGCAAAAAAATTTACCACATTGTCACATTAACAGTAAATTTTGTCAAAATGTCACGCGGCATATTTCGCTACACTGTGTAGCGAAATATGTTTGCAAGTAATTCGCTACACAGTGAAGCGAAATATGTTATGTCAGGATGCACAATCAGCAAAAAATGACACGTGCCAAGCAGGCAGAATTCAAGCATAATTTGCTACACAATGTAGCGAATTTCTGCCTGTTTGACACGTGTCATTTTTGCTGACTGTACAGCCTGACATGGCATATTTCGTTACACTGTGTAGCAAATTACTTGCAAACATATTTCGCTACATAGTGTAACAAAATATACCGCGTGACATTTAGACAAAATTTACTGTTGACGTAACACTTTGATAAATTTTTTTACCAAACGTAATAAAATGAAAAGCATGCAACCAGACTTTTCGTACAAGTTACAACAACAAAAACAATCGATACTCAAGAATGTATGCATAGAATCCACACAGTGAAAGATTTAATTTAATTTTTAATTTTTTTTGCATATATATTTTTTTGAATAATTTTAAACGTAAATTTCATATCTCTCCAAAAATTACAATCAAGACATTTTACTAAACATATTTATAAATTATTCTAAATTATTAATGTCAAATTAGCCTGACTATTCCAGATTTAGATAAAGACAAGATCGTACTTGAGTTTAAAAGATACGTGCTTCTTACGGCACTCCACGAAGTTTATTGTCTATCTATGTACGTCGGAATTCGTAAAAGTGTGACCATTCCGGCCCATTTTGTATTTATTATAAGGGTTATGTTTATCTCATTTTACATGAGATAAACATCTCTCCTACACACACAAAAAGGGTTGGGTCCCACCACTTTTTTTTTCTCTCTCCTCTTACATGTGGGTCCCACTTATACTTTTATTTCTACAACATGAGGTAATTCTTTTCCTACAACATAAGAAAAATATATCCCTTATTATAATGCAAGAAAATGATAAAATAAATAAACAACAATATATTCATTTTTTATATTTTAACAATTTAAGATTACAATATATTTTTTATTAAAAAAATTAATTTAAAAATTAATTTAATTTTACAAAAAAATCTTAATCAAAATTAATAAATTATAAATATTATTGCTTTAAAATATAAGTGATAACACATTGTTTTTAATATTATGTTTTTATCACATAAATAAATAAAGAGAAAAATATTTGTTTTTAAAATACAATCATTTTAGTTAAAATTATTATTATTTATTTAATATTTAAATTAAAAAATTTATTTTTTCTTATCATAATTTCTCTTTTTCTTGCTATAAAAAATAATAATTCTGTCTAAAATAACATAATTTTATATTTTTAAAAGAATAAATACTAATTATTATTAAAAAAATTAATTTAATATCAATAAATAACCACACCTATATTTTTGAGTGATCAAAATAAATATTTATTTTCAATTGCTTTTGGAAATTGAAAAGTAAAACTGTCATCATGTTTCATGAACACGGGAACAAGGAATTGAGGAAGGAAACTGAGGCATAAGGACAGGGGGAAAAAAGAGAGAGAGAGAGAGAAGAAGGTAAGGAGATTTTATTGTTTCGAAGGAATGGAACAAAACAAGGTTCAAAACAGATTATCGATGAAAAGAAAGAATAAGAAAGTAAAACATCGATCACCTTAGACGAAGAAGAGGGACAACCAGCTCGAAGAAGTAGTTTCCTTAAACCTGGAAAGCACAGAGTTCTTTGAATCATTGTGTTCGATCCTTCTGGTGAGGAAAGCCCAGTCCTTTCAAAGCACAGCAGTGGTTATGGACTGATGGTGGTGATGAGTGTGAGCTGGCGATACTATGAATCCGAGCATACGCTCAAAATAATAGAGACAGGGACAAACAAACAGGATAGGAGGAGCAAAGGATAACGCCAGCTCTGCAATCTGCATATTTATACACCAAACTTGCTCTTGTGTTGTTCGCTTTTTCGGAACACTGCATGAGGACTGTATAGCTATTACCAATTTTATATTAGGTCAAATTACATTTTTCTCTCCAAAAAATGATCAAATTACACCCTTTCCTTTTTTATTTTTTATTTTTTGAGACAATTCCTTTTTTATTTTTATAAACTACACTTCAATCCACTAAGCAATAAAGTGAGTGGGTATTCTACGAACAGTTTTTTCTCTCTGCACACGTGCCAGGGACACCAGTAATTGGTTTTAAATCCTTACCATTAGTTTTAGGGGAGATTGTTAGAACAGTGACCAAAATCTCATTTTTTCTGTTATCAAAAAAAAAAAAAATCTCATTTTTTCTGACAAAAAAAAAAATTATCCAAATGGCACGCGAACAATACATTTTATCATACTGTCGACGTAATTCGCTACCAATGGTAGCAATTTACGCTTGCCAATGATTTTGGGTTTAGGGTTTAGGGTTTAGGGTTTAGGGTTTACGCTTGCCAATGATTTTGCTGACGTGTCATAATTCGTTATCACTGGTAGCGAATTTGGTCTGCAATATGATCACATGTCACGGAATTATTGACCACGAAATTTGTTACCAGTGGCAGCGAATTATAGCACGTGACAGTCTGGTAAAAAATATTGTTCACGTGATATTGGAATAAATTTTTTGATAAAAAATACATTTTGATCAGTGTTCCGAGATTGTTAATGAAATTTCATCGGTGTCCAAAACATTGTTTTATTTTAAGAGTTTGCTGGAAAAATATAATGTAAAATTAATATTGCTATACAGCTTTCACCTAATGACTTAAATTTTTAGTTGAGATTATTCTTTACCTTCTGACCTTTGTAATTAATGTCGTAAGTTTGATTCTCAATGCTTTGATTTTAGTAATAAATAATTAGAGTAAATATCTTTTTTAGTCTCTAATAAAAAATATGGTCTCTACTTTAATCTTTTATAAAAATAAATTAGTCAATTAGTTCCTAATAAATTCAAAGTGAACCCATTTAGTTGAAATCGTGGTTCCTCACAAATTCAAATAAGACCCATATTAGTCCCTCAAAAGGACTAAAATGGGTCCACCTTGAATTTGTTAGGGACTAACTAACTAATTTATTTTTGTAAGGGACTAAAGTGGGGACCGTATTTTTTGTTAGGGATCAAAATTGATCTTTACTCAAATAATTAAGTATTATAAAATTTTTCAATACACTTAAATAAGCTTTTATATTATCAACTATTCAAACTCAATTGGCTTTTGTATAAGGAAGTGTATTAAAATATAAAATTATTGATGAATTTTTTTTGAATTGAAATAATTCTATGAATATAAAAAATTTACAAATATATATTTAAAGTAATAGCAAGAAGTATGACGCCTGTGACCGCCACAAGTATTGATACTTCTTGCTCACTTTCCCTCAAATCCAGTATGGCTCAAATATATATTAGGCATTAGAGAAAATAAAAATATTCTTAAAGGACTTATTTACAATTCTCACGGGTTTAATTTTATTAAAATAAATTAAAGTTTAATACATTTTTATTTACGGCAAAAACAATATAATTTACCTTTTTTATGTTAAAATTGAGAGTGTTGGGTATGACTCATCATTGGCAGTTAGATAATTACTTTTTTGTTGGGGGTCAGCGAACTGATGAAAAGTCAACGGGTCCCGTAAATGTCAGGTATTGTTGTGGGCTTCTAATTTATTATAATTTTACTTTTATCAGTAGTTTGAACTTGGGCTCATGAATAGCTGTTGTTAATTGTTTTTTTAATCTTATTTATATTCTCCTTGTAAACCTAGCGGCTAACGACATGTAGCAAATGACGGTGAAGTGAATATACTCAATGTAATACAAACAAGCTGAATTTAATCTATATTAGATGAATCTGAGTAAATCACGATGTCAGTCTCTCTTCTCTTTTCTCTTTTTTTTTTGTTTTATCAATTTGTATAATTGTTGATTTTTCAACAGAGAGAACCACTTAATTTTTCGCGTAACATTTATTTTAATTAGTATCGGCCATTCTTTTTTATGTATTTATTTTATTACATAGGAAATAATGCGAGAAATTAAAGTTTATAATTTCTCTAATCAATCTGGCCATTCTTTTTTATATATTGGAGTCAGTGAAAATAATAACAAATGTTTATGAACGAACACTGATTGAAAAAGGTGAATTAAAATTGATTTGAAGGTTGTTACGTAGTAATCTGAAAGTTTTCTTTGTAGATTTGAAAATCCACCTCGGGATAATTAGGCTCTTAGCAAAAGATTCTACATACTATTGTCAATTTTCGTTTTGATTTGATAGTTAGTTGTTATTTTGTCTTTCCTGGGCCAAGGCCCTCCACCTACAAAAGAAAAAAAAAAAAATCTCATCGCGTTTTCTAATTTATTAAAAAATAAAATAAAAATAAAAAGTAAAAATTCTTGTCGCTTCCAGGAGAGATGGAAAGACACGAAGCCTAGAAGGCAATGTCGATTAGAGTTGCCTATACCCTATCTTGTACTGATATTAACACGAGATATGACATGATATGACAGGTCGATACATTAATTTTAAAAAAGGTCATATTTTAATATGTTAGGACATGTTTTGATATTAATTAATATTTTTAATATATATAACATAATTTATATTATATACATATAACAGTTCATAATAAATTATATAATCATTAAAATATTTAAATTTCATAATATAAATATAAAAAAAAATTTCATACTTTGTTAATTTTTTATGTCAAATTTTATAATAAAAAAAATTGATTTATAAATTATTATTTTGTATTTAATTAATAAAATTGAATTTAGACCTTAAAAAAAAAGGTGTTTGATGTGCTGGAAACATTGACTGTGTGTCAAAAAAAAATTGAATGTATGTCAAAAAAATGTATCAAAATATTAATCACAATGACACAAAAATTGACCGGATGTCGATAAGTGTCGAAACATGTCGGTATCTTTCAAAATTTTGCACATGTCCGGGCTTCGTAGGCTGTAGCTATCCAAAGTACTGCATTACCTAATAGCCACGTCAATCCTCATCCCCTTTTAGCCATTAGTGCAAAATAACGTCATGGTCCTTCAACGTTTTTTAAATTAATTATTAGTGGTTTTTTCACTCACATTAAACATGACACAATGTCAGTATTATTTTGAGTTGTATTCATTTATTAACATATTAATTTTTTGTCATCTTACTTTTGCATTTTATTCTGAAAAGTCGTGAATTCAGGCTAAAGTAATGGTTGCTACTGGCTCCATCTCCACTTGGTAATGGTAAACTATAGTTCAAAGCAAGAACCACGAACACTTATAAAAATAAGGAGAGTTGTGTCTGACACGCTTCGAGACGGTGTCAGACACACGGTCAATTTTTTTCGACACGTTGACCATTTCGACACGCGAATTTGATTGTATCTGACACGATCAAATGATATTTTCGTAATTTTTTTTATTTTTTTTAAAAAAATTATTTTGTTAAAAATTAAAATATATTAATAAAGCTTCCACTTGATCATATCAATTTTATATTTTTGTCTTTTTTCCCCTTAAGTAGATAAGAGATCATCTCAACATCATTGTTGTCAATTTCTATCACGCTTTTGTTGTATCTCCTTCTCTATGATCTCTGTCTAATATGATTTGATCTCTCTATCTGATATTATATATATCTCTCATCCCAGATCTTTTTTTTTTTATTAAAGCTTCCATCTTTATAACGTGTTAATGGGTATTATTAATTTAGTTTCATTTTTTGTTAAATTATTAAATATTAAATGAAATATACACTATATAAATTAAAAATATTATTTAATATTAAAACGTGTCCCAACGTGTCGAAATCCATAATTTTTTAAGATTGACGTGTCGGAGTATCGTGTCATGTCATATCAGTGCTACATAGGTCCAAAGTTACAATCAGGAATTTCAGTTGTTCGGGTAAAGGGGTCAATGTATCCACTTCCTAATATGATAGACACTTTATGAGCAGAGGTTGACCAGACTAATAAAATAATTTATAAACTAACTGATCGTAACCAATTTATCCAATTAGGCTGACAAGCAGCTTTATTCTATGAGTTCTTATTGGAACAAAATAGGAGTATATTTACAAGACACTCAAATACTCAAATCATCAAATTTGGTCTAAGCATATTAATTCGTGTAAAAGAATATGTATATCTTGTGTTCATGCATTCATATTTATAGTGGAGAGATACATTCATATTTATAATTGTCTGCAAAGTTGCTTGGCAGTAAACTTTGTTCGGTGGTGAAGTTTATAGAAGCAAACATGGCCAGTAGCTTTTCTTAGTGATAAAAGCTTTTAACATGAGAATTGTATTTCATTATTTATATTCCAGATCACTAACAAAAAATAAAATAAACAATCTCTCAAAATCGTAGGTACTAAATAAATTATTAACCTCTATTTATTTTCCCATATTCGATAATGGGCGGTCTTTCAAATAAAAAAGAGAGACTAAATCTAATTAAGAATATGTTTTTTTTAAAATAATAATTAACTCCTATCACAGTTGTTTTCTATTAACTTAGGATATTAATTTAATGAGTTCATTTTTTCTGCAGTCAATGTATATAAGTTATTTGTAGTGAACCCAAAACGATATTTTTGGGACAGAAATTAAGATATTTTTATAATTATAATTTATTTCAGAATTATAATAGTCTTTCTCATTATAATATTTTAATTTTTCAATCCAAAACTAGAGGTGGAAATATGGGGTTGAACCTGACCTGCAAACCCGTCAAAACGGGACGGCTTGGTTATATATTTTAACCCACCAACCCGCCCCGTTGGGTTGTGGGTCAAAACAGGTTGGCGGTGGGTCGGGGCGAATTGGCCTGCCGGGTCAATTTTTATTTACTTTTTACTATTAGGTAGTATTTTAATTATTTTTAAACTTTTGTGATATCCAATATTTTATTATCTTAGTACTCTTTAGAAAAGATAAAGAA